GCGTCTAGGATTGTCTGCTCCTAATTTTTGTCTGCAAAGTCCTTCGGCCCCGGTTTCCAACTATTCTGCGAAATCCTTAACCTCATGTGGCAATAAGGTTAAGGATTTCATATAGCTACTGGGAACTATCGCGATCTGCTTTTGGAGCCTGGTGGCCTGACCTTTGCTTTCTTTCTGCACAGATGTAAAAGAAACAAAATCTTAGGCCCGCGCAGCGGCCGAAAAATAATTTTGGCTTCTTCAACCCGGAAGATTTCCCGGCCCGACTCCGGAATGTTTTCCCTGAAAATCCTGAACCTCAGTTGGCCAACTGAGGTTAATCAAGGAAATTTGCCGGCCCCGGCTCCGGATTTTCTCCCGAAAATCCTTAGCCTAAGTTGGCCAACTGAGGTTTAGGAAATTTCCTGGCCCTGACTCCGGATTCTTCCCTGAAAAAAAAGCCTGTAACCTCCGTTGGCCAACTGAGCTTAAGGAATCTTCGGGGAACCTCACTTAGCCAACTGAGGTCTAGGAACTTGCCCGCCCACAGCTCCGGATTCTTTCCCGAAAATGCTTAATCTCTTAGTTGGCCCACTGAGGTTAAGGATTTCGAAAAACTTGATTGCCCCACACGGAGGATGCGAAAGATAGACGGGGCTTGCACCGCACGGACAATGTGAAAGGTTAACCCTGAAAAGTTAGCCCCGCGCAGCGGCCGAAGAAATATTCGCTTCTCAGACACGAGGATTACCCGGCAGTTTTGCAAAAAAGCCTTCACCTCAGTTGGCCAGCCGATGTTCAGGAGATTTTCCGGCCCCGGAGTCCCGGTCCGGATATTGGCGAAAAAACCTTAACCTCAGTTGGCCAGCAGAGGTTAAGGAATTTTTCCGGTCCCGGGCGCGAATTTCTGGCCGAAAGGTATAAGATCCGAATTTCTGTGCAAAAACTGGCCCAACACCTTAAACTCAGCAAAATTTCCTTAACCTCAGTTGGCCAACTGAGGTTAAGGATTTGGCCCGGCGGGACGGTGTGTAAAATATGTTTTTTCCTTAACCCTGGCCAGGAAAAAACCGGTTTTATACACCGTCACGGCTGGTTTTGAAGGCCGTGACGGTGTATAAAACCGGTTTTTTCCTGGCCAGGGTTAAGGAAAAAACATATTTTACACACCGTCCCCCCGGGCCAAATCCTTAACCTCAGTTGGCCAACTGAGGTTAAGGAAATTTTGCTGAGTTTAAGGTGTTGGGCCAGTTTTTGCACAGAAATTCGGATCCGATACTAAAAACCTCCTTCGATACTAAAAACCTCCTTAACCTCAGCCGGCCAACTGAGGTTAAGAAAATTTGCTGAGTTAAAGGTTCTTAGCCAATTTTCGTCCAGAAAATTCGGCTCCGATACCTAAAAATTTTCTTACCCCCAGTTGGCCGAGTTTAAGGTTTTTGGCCAGAAAATTCGGCTCCGATATTAAAACCTTAATGTCAACTGGCCAACCAAGGTTAAGGATTTAAATCCGGACCCGGACCGAAAAAACTTCGTCCATTGCGCAGGGCTAAGTTACCGGAAAATCTCCTGAACATCGGCTGGCCAACTGAGGTTCGTAAAAGAGCCAGGAAATTCTCTGTGCGAAGCAATAAAAATTTTCGGCCGCTGCGCGGGGCTAAGTTCGGGACCAGAAAACTTCCTAAGCATCGGTTGGCCAACTGAGATAGCGGATCTTCGCAAAACCTGCCGGAAAATCCTCCGTGAGAAGCGCTTTTCGGTCGGCCGCCGCGCAGGGCTAAGTTTTCAGAATTAACCTTTCACATTACCCGTGCGGCACAAGCCACGTCTATCTTTCACATCCTCCGTGTGGGACAAGCAAAAAATGTTCGGCTGCTGCGAGGGGCTATGCTTTCAGGGATAGTCTTTGACATAGTGTTTCTGCTCAGAACCGCAAGACCCAGCTCGGGACTCGGGACCCCTTAGATTTGGTGGCCTAAGCAAGCCCAGCCCCGAAACCTAATCCCCAACAAATTTATGTTTCCTTCACCACGCTAAGTCAACGACACAAATTCCGCCACTGGGGAGACAACCCAGGATGCATTTTCGGTATTGTACCACCACTCCCCACAGCCCAGCCACACATCTGAACTCGGTGGCGAACTTTCAGCCGGCCAACCTGCAGATCGTACCAACTTCACACTTTCCTATTTCGGTGGCAATTTGTTCCAACAACCACTCAACCGCCCAGGCACAGCACACACCCCCGCTGGCCCAGCACGGGGTATCCCAACAGCTTTGCAGCTCATCTATCATTTGTTTTGCAGATCATCCATCATTTCCAGCCAAAATCGCATGTCGCCTGTTCGGCAAAAAATATTTCCTTAAACAGCAGCCCAAAACCCTTAAACACAGCAACATTCTTAGGCACAGCCAATAAAGAAATTTGGCACTGAAACCTAATAAGGGAGAATATAAAATGTCCCTAGGGCCTACCGAGGGTGTTTGAGGCGGGGCGCATGAAGATGATAGTGTTTACAGGTCGTTCTTTTTGGTTCCACCGGGACCTGGATGCCTAGCTGACCCACGTCGCGCTGCGGGGAACATCACACGCTACTATCATGGGGAGAAAAGCCGTTCCTGTCTGCTCTGCTTTGGAAATCCCAGCAGCTAGTTCAGCCAAAAAAACCACACCCTTTTGTGCTGTCTATCGAAGCCCAGAACTCCGAGTCCAGAATCCTTCTGTGGGAGGGGTGAGTCGACACAGCAACTGAGGGGCTATCGTGGGGGGCTGAGGGTGCCTAGGGGTCTCAAGGAGTCTAAACCTCTGACTCTACCAACCCCCCCCAACCCTCGATGGTAGTTCGAGCCATGGTGCAGCTGAAGGTGGTCACCCCCAAGTGGGCCAGGAGGTCGGTAAGGCATGGGATGCCTCCGAAGCCGTGGGCTTCGGAGGGGTTAGGGGGCAATTTCCCCTCCTGAAACACCCCTAGAGGGCCTTGTTTTTGTGAACCCTGCGCAGGGCTTCCCTTTCACGGCGCCCTTCTGGGGGCTTACAGTAGAAGGCTTCGGCTTTCGGCTTTGACGACGCCACACTTTTCGCCAGTCTCCCCCCCCCAAGTTGGGGCGGTTCTGCTGGAAGGTCTCAATAAGGTCCCTGTTTAAGAGAGCCAGAAGAGGGTTCAGAAGGGTCCCCCTTCTCCTGCCTAGGAATATCAGCACACCCCGGCTTCACCATCGGGCATTGGCGTTGGCCCCCGTGCCGGTGCCCAAGTGCGAAACACAGGGAACTCATGAGCTTTGAGGCGCTTAGATTCAGGGTTTAGGGTTTAGGGTTTAGGGCCCTCTTCCTTGCCCATGCAGCACAAACCTCGGAACCTCGAACCCTGAGCCCCTGAAAGACTTTCTGTAAACAGCCCCCGCCTGCAGTGGCGAGACCTTCCGCGAGCTTCGTGGACACAGCCTGTGCTTGTGGTGTTGTTTTTTTTGGCACCCTTGTGGTGGTTTAGGGTTTAGGGTTTAGGGGTTTGGGTTTAGGGGGTTTAGGGTTTAGGTTAGAGACTTTCTGAAGCTAAACTCAATCTCAAGCCCTCAAAAGGAATCACACTCAATCATTGAAGCACCTTCTTCCAGACGCCTACGTGCTGACCCGTGCAAGATCCTGCAACTGGAGCCCCAAGCCTCGCAGCAGGCCCCGACTCGAGGCTTAGGGTTTAGGGTTTAGGGTTTAGGGCTTAGGGCTTAGGGCTTAGGGTTTAGGGTTTAGGGGACACCAGACCAGACCAATGTATCGGGTGCTTTTTGACGCTTCGGAGCTTAGAATCATCAGGAAGGTGTGTGTGTGTGTGTGTGTGTGTGTGTGTCTCGTTTCAGGGCAGGAAGCCCGGTGTGTATATGCCCAGCTTCGGGATTGTGGTGACTTGTAAGAGATGCGTGGTCTCGACCCTTCTCGACCCATGAACTGTGGGGACACCGGCAAGAGTCTTTCAAAAAAACAAACGCCTAAACTCTCTATCGGCCAAGCAAATGGAATTAAAATCCTGAAGCGACGCGTCAGGGGCCACCCGAAACCCTTCTACAACACTCCGCACCACTGCCTGCTTCGACTGACGTCCACCCTGATTTTCAAACCCTTCTGGGGGTTTCCGAAAATAGGGGTACCTTTTTTGGGGGTCCCATTCAGGGGATTCTATTCATTTTGGGAAATGCCCCTATAACCCTGAAGCTCCAACACCCACGGATCACACTCGCTAAGGCCGACACCAGAGGTCGGGGTTTGGACTGTTCCACCTTGCGTCTCGACAGGGTGTGTACACAATTGTGGCGCCTTTCTCGGTTTAGGGTTTAGGGTTTCGGGAAAGGGGCGGGGAAGTGATCCTCGGAACCCAGATTGCACCACCTGGAGCTATTCCCTACTCATTTGTAGGTTTTGTGGGCCACAGGTCTGCACAGCCTAGGCATAGCAAATCCCGAAGCCTGAGCAAGAGCAGGGTGGAGTCTCCTAGCCCCCATTCTCAGCGCTATCCCCCTGGTCTATGGTATGTATGTATGTATGTATGTATGTATGTATGTATGTATGTACATATACATGTACATATAAATATATATATATATATTTATTTATTTATTTATATTTATATTTATATTTATATTTATATTTATATTTATATTTATATTTATATTTATATTTATATTTATATTTATTTATTTTTATATCTATTTATTTGCTTATTTATTTATTTACTTATTTATTTACTTATTCATTTATATCTTTATTTGTCTGTGTATATATATATAATATGTAAATGCATATATACACACACACTCTTCATTTATTATGTAGCGATTATTGGCTATTTATAGTTGGTTTTCTGGGCGCACCTCCTCTGGCCCCATCGGTGCAAGTTGCGGAAAGCTGTTGCGAGCAGATCGCGCCGAATCCGAAGCCGACTCTTGTCGGGGCTTGGGGGGGGCCGAGGTTTCTGAAGTCTCATATGCAGCGGACAGAGTACTCGGGGGATTCGAGTGCAGTGCTCAAGGTCTTATAAGGGCGGAAAGGCTGCTGCGGCGGCCATGAGGATGGAGCTTGGACAATATGTAAGCACTGGGTGGCTGCGGCATGAAGACGCCCGGCTCAAGAGTGCCCGAACCTTTCCCGCAGAACCGACCCTTAAACCCAAATGGCACACTTGCCTTGAGACATATTCCGAGGAACCTGAAGCCACTCAAGCATCTGCACCTGCAGACGCAAACAGATAACCCAAGGCGACGCCAGCCACCCCTGCCCTTCTGAAACAAGCACGAACCCTTGGGGAACCCTTGAATCCCAAGGAAGCCCACGCTGCTTGCTTCGCCTGCTGCACCTGCTGGACCAACAGTGACTGCAGGCTAAGACCGGGCACCTTGACCTTAGCCGGGAAGAACATCAAGAATCTTAGGCCTATTGCGGGCCGAGCTGTGGCTTCTGCTCGCATCGCAGCTGTTTCGTTCCATCGTTCTGTCCTTCAGGTGTGCAAGCCTAGGGCAGGCCGGAGGCAAATGCACAAAGCATAGCTTCTGTGACTGGTAGACACATAGCTGTGCACCCTAAACCCTAAACCCTAAACCCTAAACCCTAAACCCTAAACCCTAAACCCTAAACCCTAAACCCTAAACCCTCACCCTCATTATTACCATCATCCGCCGCAGCCACCACCACCAGCATCAGCAGCCGCAGAGGCCGAAATACTCATGATGCTTTAGGGTTTAGGGTTTAGGGTTTCATGTAAGTTAGTATGGACTACACACCTGCAGATGCGCATCGCGCTTAACAAGCATGTCCAAGGCCATGCCTAGCATAGTCGCACTGCTTTGGGGCACAGCTTTCCCTTCACTACCCAAACCCTTGGCTTGCAAGCTCTCAGACTCAAGCCCTACTAAACAACCTGAGCAATCTTGCGTAGACTCGAAGTGCACCTGCGAAGTGCACTTGCAAGACAACCGTGGTGCCTAAGCCCGATAAGCCCAAGCCCTGCATGCCTTAATACCTCTGCACGCCCTCCACCCGCCCCGCCGCCCCCACCACCAACGCCAAAAGTTAAACAGAACTCAAGGGCTTGGGATTCGGCTTGAGGCTTTTGACATTCGTTACCGGGGACCGCTTGGAGCAAAATCTCTTGACCTACAGCTTCACGAGTTACACCTACGAATTCTAAGGGTAGATACTACTGAACTGTAGGTAGTTGCGCCGCTTGAGCTCCCCGGCAGAGGGGAAGGGTGTCTGCTGGCACTCCAGAACCACCTCAGGACCAAGAACCTCGTGGCCGACCTGCCAGGGGCTCTAGCTTTTGTAGCCCCAGTAACAATATTACAATGTGGGGTGCTCTTCTTCTTCAGGGTTGGTTACTTTATAAGTAACCTTGAACCACCGGGCTACCAAGTTAGGAGCGTTCTGATGCTGTCGGCCCCCGAGCTGTGCTCCTGAAAAACTTGAGAAGCTACTTCTGCAAGACCAGTTTGGCGGGAAGCCCTATAAGCCCTGAATCAGAGGGAGGCGCCTGCAGCAGCATTTCTGCCGTGGACCCCGGTAGGGCGGACTCGTCGTCCAAGTCAGCCGCACTTACGGCGATCACGATGTCCTCGTCAAGTCACGCGATGAGTCTCAGCCAAGTCGCCTTCCTCCTGCCTGAACCCTAAACCCTAAGCCGTAAACCCTACATAAGCCGTAACCCCTAAACCCTCAACCCTTGTTGTAAAACTCGGGCTTCAGGGAGCAAAGCGATGTGCGGTCGTGCGTGTTGTCGGGTTGATGCCCCGTGTCTTAAACCCTGAATCCTACTATGCTCCATCCTGCAACATGCTTTCGGGCTCAAGCAGTCTCTCAAAAAGCATCTGGGCCCTGATAAGGGTTAAGCCCTAAACCCACTTAAGATCACCCCCCATAGGAGCCTTTGCACCCTTTCCCGAACCCTAGACGTCCCTCTAAAGGCAAAAACCCCTTTCCCGCTTTTGCCTAAATCCAAAGCCCTAAATACCCCAAACCTAAACCCTAAACGGCCCCAAACGCCCTACCCAGAAAGGCCTCAACCCCAAAACCCCCCAAACCCCTCACACGGGGAAGTCGGTCCTTTGGCCGCGAGGGTGGTAACCCTGCCAGGGCCTTTTTGTCTCTGTTGCGAGGTCCGGGGGCGCAAAGGTGCAATGAAAGGGCTTAGGGTCTTTTGTTTGTGCCTCTCGCCTGGCTGAATGAAAGTCCACGTATTGCAAGGCATATGGCATATTGGGTCTGTCATGAAGGTTTAGGGTTTAGGGGCAGCAAGGGTTTGGGTTGACTGGGATTATATTGGGGTCTGAGGCAGAAGGTGTTGGGGCTGATTTCGGGTTTTGGGCAGGGGTTCCGATTGTTTCGGGCTGAAGGAGTTGGAGACGCTTTTCTCTCCTTCTTAGTTGCTGAGTTCATAATCCCCCAAAAAGTGTAAACTTTCAGTTCTATAGGGGATTATGATATCCCCAAAAAGTGCAAAAGAGTGCTCACTCAGCTACTAAGCCTATATGGCTCCCTTTTGGGCGTTACTCTGCACGGAGCCTCATTACTTCTGGTACCCAACAAGTGGAAAGAAGTCAGAGAAATAACTGCCGTTTGTACCTTTGTACTTCCTGTCTTTTAGTCGGCCCGCAGGACCTGTAGCACATCCTTGTCTCACTCTGGTTTTGATGCGTCTGTTCACGGTGGCGTAGGACATACCGGGCATACATGTAGGTAGCGCATGCAGGGTTTGAGGTCTAATTCTAGGGCTTCGGGAGACCCATCTCGGGGTCTGGGTTGAAATTCTGGTGATCATGACTCAGCAGCCAAGTCGCCATTCGTTTCGCAGCCCTGGCCGCAGTCGCATCAGCTCCTCAGGACACCCCGAAACCCTAAACCCTAACTCCTAAGCCCCTAAACCCTAAACCCTAAACCCTAAACTCATTGTACTACACATGCTGGAGCCTCCGAAGAGTCATGATCAAGTCTGGGGTGGCCACACCAGTATCTGGAGGCAAGGCTAGATGCTGTGCAAAACAGACCATGCCCACGGAACTTGCAACTTGGTTTAGGGTTTAGGGTTTAGGGTTTGGGGTTTAGGGTTTAGGGTTTAGGGTTTAGGAACATTCAACCCTTTTTTACCCTGAACCCTGAACCCTAAACCCTAACTCTAAACCCTTCCCCATTCCCTGCTAACCAACAGTATGTTTGGGCCAGGGCTGGCCACCGCGTCTTCCAGGGCGCAGCGCATCAAGATGCCACCCTGGCGGTTGGCCATTCATACCCAGACCAATAGGGTTTAGGGTTTAGGGTTTAGGAGTTAGGGTTTAGGATTTAGGGTTTAGGATTCAGGGTTTAGGGTTCATGCACGAACCATTTAGAGCAGATGAACAAGTGAGTAGGGTTTAGGTTGTAAGTTGCGCGCAAATTCTTCAGGAGTGTCGCCACCTGCCTAGCAGAACTGCGCCTGCAGCTTTTCTTTTGCCGCCCCGCCAAGCAGACCAGCAACACTGCAGGGTGAGAGATTTCTTGTTGCATTTAGCTGGTGACGGGGTCTGGCCAGTTCTCAATGGAATAGCCAAGCTGCTGTTGCATGTCCTTCAGATATCGCACCAGTCGCGGATCCAGCTGCAACAAAGCTTCCTGCGTCGCCTGCATGCACTCCTGGTCGTTAGAGTGGCCGGCATCCGCGATGGAATTTTCCTAGACCCAGGATTAACCTAGGAATAGAAGGATACCCCTTTCGGTTTTTGAGGGGATTAGAACAGAGGAACCCCAACCTTAAAACAAAAAAAAAAGGAAATTAGGGGCCCCCTCCGGGTCCGAGCATCATAATTGGGGTCGACGTGCAAGTCCTCGACCTTCGCTGCCTGCCAGAGGCGAGACAGGTCCGATTCTGGGACGCTGGGCGCGAAGAAGAAGCCTTGGTAGCCCAGTAACCATACTATTTGTATCTTCCCCAAGAATCTTCTTAGTCTGCTAATAAACTGTTGATACTATTTTAGGATAAGAGTAACTAATTTATAAGGGTACCCGTTTTGGGGTTGGCTACATGATAAGGGAACCCAGAACCCAACAAAAACTGCAAAAAGGGTGCCACTGGGCTGCCAAGAAGCGAAACAGCCTCTGGACGACATCGTCAAAGCCTTCGGACGACGTCGTGATCTCCTCAAAGCGCACGGGGAACATCTCCTCGGCACTCGTGTTCCTGTGGACGTCCACCATGTCTTGAATCATGCCAGACATAACAGGCCACATCGCCATCAGACCCTCTTTGGGGCCCATGGACATGATCTCGGGCCATGGGGCCATGGGCGAGCCGTACTCTTGGCCGCGGTGGTGGTAGCAGTAGGCGGAGATGAGCATGTCCTTGGGCTTGCGCACGGCGTGGGCTCCCCGAATGGGCAGCTGCTGCAGGGTCGCCGCGCCCTTGGCCGCCTGGTAGTTGTAGATTTTGGCGGAGTTGTCCCATTGTATGGGGATGTCCATCCGGTCGTAGCACAAGGAGTCGTGGTTCGCGGAGGTGATGAAGCTCTCGGGTAGCGACTTGTGGTCGGGTGTCAAGGTGTAGTGGCAGGAGACAGGTGCGCCCAAGGTGTCAAAGGCGTGTCTCATCACATCTCGCAGCAGCTGGCTGCCAGATTTGTGGTGTGTACCCACCTTGGTAGCCCAGAAATTAACCATAGTGTTATAAGGGTAGTCCTTTTTCTGGCTTTTTACCTTACAAGGGAACCCTGAACCACAAAAAAGGAAAAAGGGCACCACCGGGCTACCAAGCCGCAAAATAGTACCGCTCCTTCCACGGCTTTAGGCTTTCCTATACTGAATTTTGAACCCTAGCAAAAATTATTTCTTTGCTGTTTCTTAGGAATTATCGTACCCAAAAATTAAATTTATTTCCAAGTACCCCCCCAAGTTTCTGGCTGGGAAGCGGCCGATTTGCCTCGACTTGACGCCCGCGACTGCACCAGCGACATGGGGGCATCGCGACAGCTGTCCTCGAAGACAGGGTTTAGGGTTTAGGGTTTAGGGTTTGGGGTTTGGGGTTTTGGGTTTAGGGTTTTTTGCCACCCGCCTAGCTGACCCCCTCTGAGATCACTCCGCAGGGAGGGTTTAGGGTTTGGGGTTTGGGGTTTGGGGTTAAGGGTCCTCAAAGACTGGTCTGGCGCCCAACTGCAAGCCATCGCCAGCGACGCCCAGAACGAGTGCCGCAAAGCAGATATGAAGCATGGTGGGTCCAGCGAATCTAGTCCACTTCATGGCTCATGGAACGTAGTAAGCAGCTCAGAATTCTCAAGTGTCAGGTGGGCTAACCTAACTTATGCAACTACTCATAACCCTGCGTATAAACTACATACGAAGTACCTGACCCTTCAAGCAGGGCAACAGAAACAAACAGGGAAAGACAGCGGCAGTAGGATTTCGGCCGCCCTCCAGCCAAGATGGCTACCGAGGTTTAGATTTAGCGCTTAATGGGACCTGTTGTACAAGAGTTTAGGGAGAGGGGGGTGGGGGGGGAGGAGGTCGTGGGAAAAAGCCGAGTGAGAGAGTCAGAGAGAGAGAGAGAATGGAGAGAGAATGGGAGAGAGGGAGAGAGCGAGACCGAGAGATAAGAAAGGATGGGCTATTAGCCGTCAAAATCCTCGTGCTGAACCCTATAACGGGCCTTTTGAGGGATTATAGGTCATAAGAGCCCATTCTGGTACAAGACCCGGAAAGTAGACCCGCACTCCGCCTCGCCGTTGTAAGAGTGGGGCTTGTGAGGGCTTGACAAAGTGTGTGAGGTTGGATCCAAGTGGTTGTCCCCGGCCCCCGCTGCGTTCTTCCTAAACCCTTATAAACCCTAAACCTTTCAAAAGAAGAACCTACAAGGCTTAACTGTATAAGCCTACATCCAAAGTGGCACAGAGCCCCAATCCAAAGCCGCCGAGTTCCCCCATAGCATTTCCCAAAACTGACCCAGCCTCCTGGTTTAGGGTTTAGGGTTTAGGGCTACCGAAATTGAGTAGATGAGGTTCACGACTGAGGCCATGGCCACTTGGGGTGAGAGTCTGCGCCTTAGCTTCAGCGAAACCCTAAACCCTAAACCCTAAACCCTAAACCCGAAACCCTAAACCCTAAACCCTAAACCCTAAACCCTCCCTCGTCCAATTTTACGGCCCAGGCATCCACCAATATACTATATACTTAGGCCTTAAAGGGATTCCTATATAGTAGCTTCAGGGCCCAAGTATATACTATATGGGTACATGGGTCCTTTGTGCATTTAAAGCCCACACAACTTCGAAGTTGGGAAACTGATTGCCGGCATGCGCCGCGGAATCGCGTCAAGGAAAAAGCCCGGAGACGATCATCCTGCGGGCATGGATGCTATGGCTTCGTGCATGCTGGTAGCATGGACGTTATCATCGCGCTGCACGGATGCTCTGGTCATTCAAATGCACTGGTAACATGGATGCTAGCATCGCGCTGGCATGGATGCTCTGGCCATGCGCACGCACTAGAGAGAAACGACACTCAAATCTGATTCATTGTTTTTGGCCAGCGAACAAGCTCGCTGCATACGAGGTGTGGGCAAACGCTGGGGGCGGACCCTCGAGCCTCAGGCCGACGCTTCGCGGCTTCGCGTGGCCCCATTTTTGCATCGACTCTGGCAGACTGCGGGCATTGCGACTTGCCGCGCACCAAAAAATCTTGAAACACGAGCACGGCAACGAGAACGGAGTACAACTCAAACTCAGATTGAAATGCGGGATCACCCAGCTGTGCGCCAAGCAGCTTGGCATCCTCTAGAGTTAACTGATGAGAAAAATATGCGACGGGCTTTAAAGCACTGTACAAGACACCCCCCAACCCAGTGGGACATGCGTCAGTATAGAGTTCAAGGACCGGCGCGTGCTCATTCCACATATACACACGTTCTAGTTGAGGCCCACTACCCACAGTAGCGGTCAACATGCTCTCAAGCCAGTGAAGAGCGTGCTCCACCTGCTTCCTGAACGTGAGTCCTTTCCTGACCCTGGTGTTCAGCTTCGCTGGAGTGTGAGAGGCTTGTGAGGCGTGCACTGCTGCCCAGAGCATGGATGCCCATGGCCTTGCTGCTGGAATGAGGTTAGCAATCCAGCCCAACACACCTGCGGCAGTCTGCAAAGTCTGAGTGGGTATCATGTTGCCGTGGCGGCGAAGCTCCTGAAACATTCCACGAAGTCTTTCCGTCTTCTCAGGGCAAAGCATAACCTTGAGGCCTGACGGAAGCAATTGCAGCATCACGCCTATCCAGCAAACAGACGCCCCGCGGGAACACTTATGCCATGCAATTTCAAAGCCCAAAATACACCAGAGTAACGTGTAGCGACAGAAAATGCGAGATCTCTCGAACTTGGTGGGCGCACACGCCACCATTATAGGATCATCCACATATGTCTGCACCCTGCCCTCGAAGTCAGACACAGAAGCCTGGACAATTCGATTGGAACATGCTGCCAGCCGGCACCAAAGCACTGGTCCACATGCAAATCCGAAACTCACCACATGGATCAAGTAGAAGGTGGAGGGCCCGCCTTTGACTACAGCATATTTTCGCTCAGATGTCCTAAGAGGCAGTGTGTAAAAGGCATCTTTGAAATCGCTGATAAAGAATTCGCAGTTTGGGCTACGGTTGTTCTTGAGGAAGAGGGCGTGCACGCTCTCGGCCACATCAGACACCCTCGGGAGGATCACTCTCTCCCGCAATGCCATCAGCCCATTTATGCCGCTTCTCCTCATGTCTACAACCAGCCTCACCTTTTCCTTGCCGTCTTTTATCTTAATGATGCAAGCAAGCTTTGTGAGTTTGGCGCCTTCCCCCACTAGGCAAACCACATCCCCCCAAGAAGATACCTTTGTAGCCCGACCACACGCGACAAGTCGGTCGAGCTCCGCCTGGCCCTTTTCGCCGGCCTCTTCGAAGGACTTGTAGTTCTTGGCACTGCCGTCCCAGTCCTCAAGCAGCGTTCCTAAAGCCTGCGAGGCCTTGATAGCTGCTGATACAGAGTCTGTCTCAGGGAAGACACCATTGTTCGCGATCGGTTCCTCTATTCCCAACGGGAAGCCATATTCTAGCCATTGAGGAATTGTGTCGCGATCAGGGTCCTTGGCGCTGTGGAGAATTGTTTTGAACAGGTTGGTCTGGTAGCCATCCGCTGCAGGCTCTGTGTGAAACGACTGAGCCAGCCTGAAGCGAGCTGCCTGAACCAACTCAGAAGAAAAGGGGCATTGACCATTTGCGTTTTCGAACTTTGCAACTAATTCGTCAGACAAGAACTCGTCCATGACATGCCGGATTTGAGCTCCCGTCTGTCGCAAAGAGCTTGATCTAGCAACGGCACGTCTGGGATCTCTGAGACCCCCGATTGCCTGCTCGTTCTCTCTGCAGCGGCGCGCCGCTGCAGTTTCTGTGGCAGCGGCTCCTGTCTTTGCCGGAAACCCTGCTATGAGCTTTGCAGACTGGAGGTCTGAGTTTGGGGCTGGCTCCAGCTCTGTGCACTTGTAGCGATCGAGGCGGACAAGTGTGTTGCCTAGCCTGCCTGCCCTGACCAGTGTTCGTGAGGCCATGACACGCCGGCCCTCTTCTGAGAGCAACCATGCCCGAAGCGCCTTTGCCCAGCATTGACACAGGCCCACCGGATACTTTGCCAGCGAAGTTCGCCAGACTGAGGCGTCGACTTTGCCTGCCACGTCGCCCTCTGTGTGACAGTGGGCTCGCACATCTTTGCAGGTGAGCTTGACAGTCAGGATCCACGGCGCATTGGAGACGATGGCAGTTGGGTTCACGTTGTCGGCGCCATAAGCACACTGGTGAAGGAGCACGGACTGCACGCCTGGTCTTTTGAGCACCCTCTTCAAAGCCGGATGCTCCCAGGCATAGGAGTCCCACGGATTCTCCAATGAGAATGTGCCGCCTGCCTCTAGGATGAGGTAGCATAGGGCCGCGACTTTTTCCGCAATCTTGTCGGAAGTGATGACTTGGGCGACCTCGTTCTCGTCTGTCCACCGCTCTCTGGTGAAGGAACTGCAAGTAAATGCCAGATGTGTGTGGTCCGCTCTCTTGACCGATTGCTTGGCCTGTTCGAAGTCGGCGTCCACGAAGATATCCCAGTTGTAGAAGCCGCCCAAGGGGCCCATGACTTCTGCCACGTCGCCTGCGATCTCCGTCACTGCTCTTGAAAAGCCACCATGACCTGCAAACAATTCTAAGAAAACAAACTTTCTTGGCGCATGCTCGGTTGATTTCTCTTGCGGTTTTGCAGCACCAGATGGACGGACAGCAGCAGGGGCAGCGCCAGTAACGGGCATCAGCGCAGGACTGCCCGAGTCCTGTCACTTGCCCTTTCCCGCCGCTTTGCCTCCCTTGTCCTTCAGCTGCTGCGCGAGGGGGGACGTGCACTGACCATTTGGGTGGCTGCCCAAGCAAACCTGGCATCCATGGACGCGGCCATGCTTGCATGGCTCTGGGCACGCCCCCGCAGCTCCCTTCGAGAAGGCAAAGCAGAGCTCCTTGCCCTCTGAGTTTGTCACGTACAGCGAGCCCCATTTCTTTGGATGACCAGCCGCTGTCTTCTGCCCCCCCACTTGAGCCTTCAGCGCGCTCTCCATCTGGACCATCTTCTCTTTCAGAAACCTTCGTCTTTTCGCTCCTCTCGACGATCCTTCGCCTGGCAGAGCCGGAGGGGGAGCGACATGGTGCTTTCCTGACATGGCATTGAGGAGGGCCTCTCTGGACCCGCTGGGCACATTGACATCCTCGGCCTTCTGGACTGACATGTGCTTCCCGCCTCTGGCGATGAAGTTTTGCGCTGGGCGGACGACATGCTCGTTCCAGAAGTCTGCATCCCGAGCAGCGTAGATGAAGACTCCGACCCATGGAGTGGCTCCGTCGAAATCGAGGCCCATAGGCAAACGACCTGAGGCTGACGCTGTCGTCAGTTGCCTCCGGTACCTCTCGAACATCTCGCCACGGCACCTGTCCTCTGCTTGCATGAGCAAATGCCAGGTCTCTGGAAATTCGGAGTTGAGCTTCACGACACGGTCGTAGTACTCCTCGAGGGCGGCTGTTGTCACCACCTTCTTCGGGCTTTGGCCTGGCGCCTCTGGAGGATATCTGAGCATGAACAAAGCCGAACGAAATACTTTCCAGCAGGCTGCCCATGCTTCGAAACTCGGAGGGCCAGGTACGTCGAGACCTTTGAATGTCCCGTCTGCTTGTAAGACCCACGAACGGGCCTTCATCTGCTTCTGCACCCTTCGGCCGAAAGGTGTCAAGACACTGAAGTCGGCATACGGGGCCTCCCGTCTGTCGACCACTCTTTGCTTCAGTGCAGCGATCTGCTCCGGCGTGGGCTCTGCCTCGCTTGGAGGCTCTGCTCCTGTGATTTCTGCATGATTCAGATACGCTTGATCGATCTCTCTTTGAGACAGCATGTCCACCTCTGTCTCGTCAAACTGATCCAGCACGTTCGAGAACTTCACCTTCTTCACAGATGAACTCGAGGCTGCGGGGCCATGTGAAGGCAAAGGGGTCACGACAGGCACAGGATCTGCTATCGGATCTATGTCCGGCATTTGAAAGGCTTGCCTGGCTACTCTCCAAGCCAACGCCAACTGGATCTGCTCGGAGGGTGTGGTTTCGCGGGCCGCTCCGCCAGCAACACTGCTGATCCGCAAGTCTTTCACTGTCTTGGACCAAACAGACTGTGGCAGCTGCGAGAAAACACGCATGGAGCCCAAACCTCCCAATGCATCCTGAAAAGCTTTCCAGACATTGGCGGGGAGCCCGCACCATTCAGCAATCTTTTGCAGAGTATCAATGTTGGCGAGCTCGGTCTCGACTGGAAGTACTGAAGGCATCAACTGAATGGACGAGGAAGGCTAATTTGACCTCCCCTTCAGCCGGCACAGAGCGCCATGGCAAAGAATCCTTGGACCTCACTCCGTGACCCAGCTTGGGCCGCACACCACCATGCAGCTCATTCACTTGTTCTTACTCACACTGCGTGTGGAATCACAACAAACCACACTATTGAACGAAATGGAAGGATCCCTGAAATAAGGGAATCACAGCTCCAACAGGGGCACTTCCATTAATGCCTCCTAACTGGGCTGTCCCTGAAAACCCTCTGAAATCAAGAGCCACTTCAACCCCGATATGGACCAATGTACCCAAAAAGGGTTTCTGGTCCATACACCTTGATAGGGAACATTATATATGGCCTAAAGCCGAGGGTATACTAGACCCGGGAGAAACCTAGGAAAATCGGGTACCCTTTTTTGGCTTAAAGGGGCTTAGCAGGGACCCTTAAAGAAAGGGGGAATAAGGGGGCCTACTCGGGGTCCTAGTAGATGATCCCCCCAATTTCAGGGCCCGTTGGGTTGTCAAGCTCTGGCAGCTTGGCTTCCCCACGCGTCGAGCACGATGGGATCCACCCCAGATCTCCTCCTGGAAGGGTTTAGGGTTTAGGGTTTAGGGTTTAGGGGGTTTGTCTAAGTCGGGGGCTCCTTGGGGACCGAGAAGAACCCTAAAAGGGCTTATGTTTGATGTGCCCTGAGAGGGACAAAGACGAGTATAGCTATAGGGTCGGTGATCCCAATTTTTGGGGCCGTCTTCAAGCTTAGGATCTCAGGCTAGATGTTGTTAGGGGACGGTATGTGCTCTCAAAAAAAAAGATCCAAAAGGACTAAAGGAAGTCAGGGGAGTGGGGCACACAAAGCCCCCGATAGCTATCCTCACATTCAAGGCCCTAAGCCCTAAGCCCTAATTTTCTAAGCCCTGAACCCTAAACCCCTCCCCCTCCCCATGTGGAGAGGCCTGGTCTGCTGCTGCGCGAGCATGGCCCCGAAGGTGTCCCGATACAGAGTGATCGCTTCCTGGCACAGTGAGGCGGTTGGGTTTAGGGTTAAGGAGTTTCGTGGGCTTTGAGGCTGTCTGGGTATCTTGCCACCTGCCTAGCTCTCTCTGAGGGTTTAGGCCATTTAGGGGTTCTTCTGTCTAGAAACATGAAGCTCGTGCACATGCCCAGTAAGTTGCTTTGTGGAAGTTCTGGTGCTTGGGGTTGCGATGCTCTGATGCTGCGCCCTGCAGACGAAGTCTGATGCTCCTGGCAACTTCCTACTAGTCCTTCCAAGCCGGAGCATCAGAGTTCTGCGCGGTTCGGTTCCCTGTACAAGCACGGGAATCTTTGAAGATTTGTTCATGATATAGTGGCACAGCGCAAGCAAGAATCCATGGATCTTCGACTCTACATCTTAGCCACGCATTCTGGACACAAGGCGTCGTGAAGCCAATCCGTGACCTTCCTTCATGCCATCGCTAGCAACACATGCTAACCATTTTGGGCACTAGCGTTGGCTTGCAGCCATTTACCCTGCGTAAAGAATCCCAAACTCCAAATTGAACCCTGCAGCCAAAAGCAGCTCCCCGCCCCAACCTCATTTCGGCCGACCTGGTGGATGCAGATAGGATCACGCGCGCGACGCTGCCGCGTGGCTGAAACCCTCTAAACCCATGTTGACGGGAAACAAGGCCCAACCCTAAACGCGTTTTTATAGACTTCTGGCATCCGCCTCTGATCCTTCCCGACCGAAAGACTTAACACTGATGACTGCCGAGATGACTTGGTGCCATCCTTCTGACATGCTCTGCCTCCTTCGGCTGTGCCAAAATCTGAGAAGCTGATGTAATTACTCCTTAGCAAAAAGTTGCCCTCTAGAAGCAGAAGCACATCATCTCATCAGGCACTAGATCGAGCTTTCGAATCCAACTGGTTCATGACATCATTGTAACCTCGTCAAACCAGGGCATGGAGGCTTGGCTTACCATTGGTGTAGAAACTGCGTTCAGAAGGGGGCTGCACTGCTCCGTCAAAAGGTTGGACTGAAACATGGGGCTCTTTGCACACTGCATCAGGCCAACTGCTTCCAGTCCATTGCAGTGCATCCGAGTATTTATGCTGTCGGGTTCTAGCTGGGTGACGGATATTCGGACGCCGGGTCACCTTACTTACAACCTCAACGGTCCGACCACGCCTCACACATCGCGGTGATGGCCGGCAACGCCATGTCTGGCCCCAGGAAGCTGGGATGCTGCGCCTTTGGTGATGGCGGGAAGGGGCACATGGTTGAGGGCGATAGTGACATGGTGGCACGGTGCTTGTCGGGTGGAGGTGGGGTCGGGTAACTATTAGCTCTTCCGGCTAAGGTTGGCTCCTGGGATATCGGATACCATCCTTTGGTGAGCAGTGCTTGGTGGACATCCCTGACTTGCCCCCGCCAAAACATGCCGAGAGCCCCTGAAAGCCCACGCATTGCAAGCCTGGGCCCAAAAGGCAAAGGGAAAGACCCAGCACACCCTCAACATTTTCCTGGCACCCATTCATGTAAACTGAATACCCGAAGCATCACAGCAACAGCCCCTCTAAGCTCCAAAAGCCCGAACCCTTGAACCCTCAACCCCTAAACCCTAATTTCCCCAAACTCGAATTCCCCTAAACCCTAACGCCCTAAGCCCCCAAAGCCCAAACTCCAAACCCCAAACCCCGTTTTTCGGTTTAGGGGTATCGGTCCCAACAGTGCCCAGCCTCTACCTCCGCATAGAGCTTCAGCACCTGGGGTGTTTATGTTTGTCGAATATAGGGGCCTGAAAAGGGTTTTGGGGGGTCGTTCTAGTATCATTACAAAGTGACCATAAGGCACCAGGGAATAGTAACTAGTAATTATTTCGACCGCCTAGATTCGTCATTGTGGCTCGGGTTGGCCAGGTCACGAGTCGGTCATGAACCCCTTAACCCCTTAACCCCTTGACCCCTTAACCCCTTAAACCCTAAACCTTAAACGGGTTGAGGGTTTGGGGAGTTTAGGGAGTTTAGGGGGTTTAGGGGGTTTAGGGGGCTTAGGGGGTTTAGGGGGTTTAGGGGGTTTAGGGGGTTTAGGGGCTTAGGGTTTTAGGGTTTAGGGTTTAGGGTTTAGGGGTTAGGGCTTAGGGGTTAGGGGTTTAGGGCTTAGGGTTCAGCAGCTCCGGATCGAGCAGTTTTATGGTAGTGTTATATTTACGGCTCTGATATAGCACCCACCCACCCAGAGAATCCCATAACATTAAGAAAATATAAAATCTTCATACACGAGTTCTATTCAACGAAGACTACGGCCACAGAACAAATTCGTGCTTTAAAATCCGCATACGGTGCTGAGGGTTGTTTTTGTCTGGGGATTAGGGTTAGGGGGCTCGGATTTAGGGTTGCCGTTGAGGGGAGGTGTTTGCAGGGTTCCCAAACACGATATTAATAGACTCCCAAAACCCAAAACCGAAAATGGCGAAATCTTGTTCCTAGGATCTCGAGTTCGGGTTTCTCGAGGACGGAGGGAGCTGTTGTTAAAGTGCACAAATAGGTTTCTTACCAAACTTAGGGTACTGTGACCCCCACAAATAAGGGGTACCAGGATCGTCGGAAACCCTGACATAAAGCTCTTGTTCGATGTTTGTGTTTGTGTTCGTGTTCGTGTCGGTGTCGGTGTTGGTGTCTGTGTCTGTGTGGGTTGGTGTGGGTGGGTGAGTGGGTGAGTGGGTGGGGGTGTGAGTGTGGGTGTGGGTGGGTGGGGGGTTGGGTGGGGGGTGGGGGGGTGGGCGGGTGTCTTGTTGGCTTGGTCGCCACAACCTTGAACCTGCCCGAAGCGAAGACTTAAACATGAAAGCCCACCCAGAAAGCCCCACACACCAGCCTCCATCCCCAGCGAGTACGGGTTAAGGGTTTAGGATTGCATACAAGTCCCAGGACAAATTGCGCAACCAAGTTGAAGAACAAAGAACCGACCACCATCTCTTGGCCCCCTGAATTGCCTAAACCCGATCCTAAACCCTAAACCCTAAACCCTAAACCCACTGCAACAGCCGAGGCGCTTCATCCCAGCATCGTGCTCGCGCGCACGCGACCAGAACGGTCCGGTAGGCGATGCGGTCCTCTCCATCGGTTTGTTTCGGAATTTAGGGTTTAGGGTTTAGGGTTTATAGGGTTTAGGGTTTAGGGTTTAGGGCACACAATTTCCCGAGCTCTTGAGCTTGAAAGCTCCAGACTCTTCAACCCCTATCTGAGCCCTTACCAGCAACCAAGAACTTCCTGGAATTTGGTCCACTTGCTTATGCAAGCTGCAGCAAGCTGTCCAGCTCCGTCCCATCTCGGCCCATCGTCCCCAGGAGCTTGAGGGCGACGTCCCACTTCCCGAGCTGAACGCATGCCTGAGGCAGCCCCCCAGGCTGTCACAAAAGTTAATCACCAGCAATGGACTCCTAGGCCTGATAATCCCCAGAATCCCAGGCCTTAAGGGGCCTTTCTGAGGGATGAGGGGCTAAATCTTATAGGGTATAATCATCGGTGCAATCGCCACATCCTGGCTGTTCCATCTTGGGAATTCGAGTCTGGAAGCCCGGAAGCATTATGATAGTATATTTATAAAGGGACCATAAGGGAATGTCCTTAGGCATGATTCCAACCACCATACTAGGCCCTGAAGCCCTCCGAATGGCACAGAATTTGACGGTTTATCTACCTGTTCCCCACGGCTCTCTCTCTTTCTCTCTCTCTCTCTCTCTCTCTCTCTCTCTCTCTCTCTCTCTCTCTCCTGTACCGGACATTTCGTCCTAAACCCTAAACCCTAAACCCTGAACCCCTAAAGCCACAACCCCTAAACCCTGAACCCCTAAGGCGCCTTGAGCACGGCATTGCAAGTCATCGAATGGGGGCTGATGCCACGAGATCCTTGCGGCTCACGGCAGTCGCACAGGGAACCCTGCAGCTGCTCAAACATCCGAGGGTTTAGGGTTTAGGGTTTAGCGGTTAGGGTTTAGGGTTTAAGGTTGCAACTGCTCAAATATCCTGCAAACTACCTTGGGGACGAAATGAAACCTGAAGGGGTTTGTGGTTCATATACCTCAGTAGGAATTATAGTAGTATAGGGTATATATGACCCCGATTTTAGGGCTGGGTTCATTGGGTCCCCAAGGTACTGCCTGTTAGCATGAAAAGACCGCAAGGACGTAAAGCTCAATCCTAACCCCTGAACCCTGTACAAAACACCAAGGCTCCAGTGCGAATTCTCACTGAGCCGCCCTGCTTCCGCGCCAATCAGACACCCGCGTCTTTTCGAAGAGATCGAGTTCTCGTGCACGGTTAACCCACGGAACAAAACTCACCCAATGCGCAGTACCCCGAAGGCCCCTGCTCTTCGATTGGGTGCATCCCCTTTAGCCGGCAGCGTCGCTACCCTGTGGGGCATAACCTTTCGAACCCTCTGCTTGACAAACAGTGGTAAAGTCATGGACACAGGAGGCGCAGTGTTTCGGATACCGGGCTTCCAGTTCGCCTTTCATAATTGGTGTCGGCTTCGGGGCGGTCGAGTTGGGCAGGTGCAAAGTTTCGTTGGACAAAGAGGTTTCCAGGAGCCGCCGCATTTTCACAGACCTTCAAGCTGCAGTACAACCACCTACCACCTGCCCCTGCGTTCTCGCACGAATCACGTTATCAGCATCCATATCAATCTGGGAAGTGCACAATGCTTGAGAGTCCAAGCCGCTGGGGAGCTATTGAGGATCATGGCCATGATGAGGCGGGAATGTAGTTGCCAACGCTTTAAGATACTATTATGGGGGTTGTCAAAATTATAATCCCTTTTGGGGGTACCCTAGAAATTTTAGGTGCCGTATTATGATAGGGCCATCCAAAAAGGGACCAGAATTTTGACAACCACCCTTTTCAGGGTGCCACTTGACGATGTTGCAGGAAGCAGGGCAAGCGCGCACCGGTGTATTCCCAGGGTAGAGTTGGGCGCCAAAGCAATTCCCAGAAGTCACCCCCCCGCAACCCTTGAGGTGTGATATTTCCGCAGGGCCCAGAGACCTCCACATTCTATGTCTACATATATATATATATATAGAGAGAGAGAGAGAGAAAAAAAAACAAAAAACAAATGTATAAAGAGATAAACATAAGTATAAATAGCTAGAGATATAGAAGCACATACAGCATAACACTGACTGTTTCTTCGGCTCTCCGCATTCCGCAGCACACACACACAAACCGCACGAGCCAAGAATCCCATGGCGGTGGCCAGGGATAAGATCTCCCTCCACAAGCCAGCCTTGCGTGGCGCGCTGTCGGTGTGGGGTTTCGGGTTCAGGCTTTAGAGTTTACGGCTTAGGGATGTCTAGGGTTTCGGGCTTAGGGTTATGGCCTTCCAGATCAACGAGTCCAGTAAGCCACTGGGTAGGCGAGGACAGGTTCGGGTTTAGGAATGAGGGCTTCAGGAGACCTGCCGTGTGAGGGCCCCCCCTCGCGCGGAACCTGTGCTGTGAAAAGATCTTCTCTGAGCAACAAGATTCAGCAAGGGACTGCAGCCTAATAATTCTTACAATGTTCTGAACTCCTGATCGTAACCCCGCAACCCAATGCCCCCGAAACACACCCCGAACGATGGGGAGTTTCACCCAAGCAGACGGTGGACCAAGCCTTACACACGCAAACAGCGACGTGAAGCACGACGTACGACGTCAAGAGAGCTCGAGGGTATACCCTATACCACTCTAATCCCTTTAAACAAGTTAGGCCATGAACCCTCTTAGGGTTCATAGGGCCCAAAATAGGGGTAGCCCGAATAGACCCCCCAAATACTATAGTCCTCATTACAGGAACCCCCCAAAAAGGGTATCCCTATGTTCGGAAACTATACGCTATACTACACTAATCCCTCAAATTGTCAAAGACATTCGGGGTATACGAGCCATGAACCCTTTGGGTCACAGGCGCGAAAGAAACCTGGTGACTTGGAGGTACGGGCGCTGTTTTCGCATGGGTGTTAGCTGCTCAAGCACAGTCTGTATGTACGTTTCTCAGGAACGCGAGAATTAGGTTAGGATGTCCCACAGCAAGAAACACTGCAAAAACCGATGTTTTTTGAGTTTTTTATCTTGTGAAGCTACAATTAGCTGAAATATATGACAAAGAAGTACACATCACTCCTTTCACTTCAGGCGTTCTAGTGAAAGGCCGCAATGGCGGCAAACAAGCACATAAAACAATGCTTTTAACGATGTTTTACGACATGCACACAAGGGTCAGTTTTGTGCGTTTTTGTGATTTTTATTTATGTTGCTTTTGCTGGCAATTGTTAGTGGTTCGAGCGTCATGACGACGACACACGGTTCGCATAAGCCTTGTGACAGTGCGTCTTGCTACAGAAACGTCGAACATCCTGCTGCAGAAACGCTGTAAATACCGGTGTTTTGGGCATGGATAGAGAAAACATAGTCGTAACCAACCCCCCCCCCCCCCCCCCCAAAACAGACCCAAACCTCTCCAAAAGTCCACGAAACAACCAGGTTTTTGACGCGCCCGTTCCCTTTAAGGAATCTAACATGTGCCCTATACTACCCTAATCCCTCTTAGGGTATATGAACCCTAAATCCAGGTCCCTAAACCCTTTTAGGGTTCATATTGCCCCTAAACCCTAAACCCTAAACCCTATAAACCCTAAACCCTAAACCCTAAACCCTAAACCCTAAACCCTAAACCCTAATATGGCGCCCTTCAGGAGCCCCGGCCTTCTCGCATACGCCGATGGTCATGTCGAAGTGCACTTCGGTGAGGTTCACGCTGGTGTCGTCCACCAGCTGTTGAAAGATCTCCAGGCCCTGAGGGTTTAGGGTTTAGGGTTTGGGGTTTAGGGTTAGGGTTTAGGGTTTAGGGTGTAGGGTTTAGGGTTTGGGGTTTAGGGCTAGGTTTTTTTTTTTTTTGGGAGGGGGGGCTTAGGGTTCACACCTTCGGGTTTAGGGTTTAGGGCTTCAGAGCGGATAGGAGGAGTTGAGGCTGCTTCAGTTTCAGCTCAGGGCTTCCATTCCTTCGGTCAGCGGGGGAATCCTCACGCCTCCCCGGCAAGCCCAAAAAAGCAGGAAGACCCCTAAACCCTAAACCCTAAACCCTAGGCCATACACCCAATACCCTAAACCCGAGACCTAGACCCGAAACCTAAACCCTAAACCCTAGGCCCTTAACCCCAACACAACGGTCTAGGGCCTGCTCACCGTTCCTAGAGCGCAGGACCCGAAGCCTAACACTATAAACCCCCTAACCCTAAACCCTTAAACCCTTAAACCCTAAACCTTAAACCCCTAAACCCTAAACCCTAAACCCCTGAACCCGTAAACCCTACAAACCCGAAACGCGCCTTGACTTGATCTCGCTCCTGGCCCTCCTCGCCAAAGAGCGCCCGCAGCAAGGAGCAGAGCTGCGTCTCGTTGGGCGTGATGCCTTCTTTTCTTCGCGTTGCCATCTTCTTTGGCCGCTTCTAGCCCTGAACCCGAAACCCTAAAGGGTTTAGGGTTTAGGGTTTAGGGTTTAGGGCAAACCCTTTTGCATCCGGGCTTAGGCACTCGGCCGGGGATGGAAGTACCCTTCGCCCTATGCGACATCATGGCCTGTACCGCGCACAACAGCGGCCCCTGAGCAGCCCCCTAAACCCTAAACCCTAAACCCTAAACCCAAAACCCTAAACCCTAAACCCTGCTCTTCAAGGACCGTGGCTGAGGCGGTCCACCAGTTCAGGCTCTTGGGGGTTTGCAAAAATTGCAGGGCTTAGTTTGTTTCCGAAACCCTAAACCCTAAACCCTAAACCCTAAACCCTAAACCCTAAACCCTAAACCCTAAACCCGGGGGGGGGGTGGGCCCGACAACCCGACATGCACAAGGATTGGTCAAGCAGGCTGCGTCCCCCTGGAAAATCGTCAAGCTTGTACCGGTGCACCCTGAGGATTCTCCCGGGTAGGGCTACAGTTATAGGAGGAATCCCGCTAACTAGGATAGTGTTTTGGGGGGTTCGTACAAGTACAGAGGGACCATAAGGGGATAACTCCGGGATAACTGTTAGTAAGTCTTCCGACCCGATATGAACCCCTAAACTTTTCTCCAAGCAAACGCAGGCTCTGGGGCGCGGTGCCGTTTTCCCGCATGGAGATGTAGAGCTCAAAGCAGCGCTCGTGGTATTCCGGAGAGTACGACAAGCCTGAGGACGAAAAGGTTAAAACATGAAACTGTAGATAGCTCGCAGTGGATAGCCTCGAATGTGTCCTGCTTCAGTTCTGGGACTACACTAAACCCTAAACCCTAAACCCTAAACCCTAAACCCCCTAAGTTAAGCCCTAAAATCACCTACGATCCTCCGAATTGTGTGATGAGGGATTAGTGATTACTGCTGGCGCGTGCGGGGCGAGGCGCCATGAAGCACCGTGTGGTAGCAGGAGTTGTTGAGCTGAATGCCGTCTTCCTTCACAGCAAGGCGCACACGGTTTAGGGTTTAGGGTTTAGGGTTTAGGGTTTAGAATCTGGAAGTGTTGCGGTCCTGCTCATCCAAAGTCTTACATACAACGCTTTAAGTGAGGCCTGTGCCTCCCGTACATACTGCTGTCGCCAGCACGGCAAAGCTCCCTGGACTCACGACGTCATGGCGAAGTTTCACCGGATTCACCTGCCGACCCTGAGTGCCAAGCCCTGTACACTCGAGAAACCCTAAGGGTCCATGTACCTCACAATTATATACTTGGGCTCCAAAGTCCTTATGCAAAATTAAAAAGTACGTTAAGACCCGAGTACTCTTGATTTGGGTACATGGACCCTTCGGGAAGCCCGAAACCCTAAACCCTAAATCCTGAACCCTATACCCTGAACATGGACTGTTTGTCAGCAGGCCTGCATCTGGTCCATGAGCGTGATGATGTTCTCCTCTTCATGCGGTCTTCAAGGACTTGTGCTGTAAAAAAAGGGGCGCAACATTAAGTGCTTGTAATGACCGCTAGCATCTCAACTAGCAAAAAGATCGTGACAAAAGCGCTGCCAGGCACCATGCCAAATCATGAAGCCACGACAAAGGCTCAGCAGAACCCTAAACCCTGAACCCTGAACCCTACACCCTAAACCCTACTCACCGAAGTTCCCCAAAAACTCGGGCTGAGTTCCGAACCCACTTCTTTCGGCTATGGCACGATGCCAGCGCAAAGTCGTAGCTGTGCCTCGGCCACGGCAGGGCGTTGTGAAGTCCGACTCGACGTCTAAAGTACTGCGCGCACTGCAAGATTCCTGAAACTTTTAGGGTTTAGGGTTTAGCTTCATCTCTTAGGGTGTTAGGCGCTCACTTCCAAGCTAAGCTGCCAAAAGGCACTACGGCAATCCCATCCTTAAACCCTAAACCCTAAAACCCCAGATTCCTAAAACCCCTAACCCTTTTTCGAACCAGGCCTCTGTAGAAATCAGAAAACACCTAAACCCCTGAATGCGTTTTTTGTCCTCTCCAGGTCTGACGTCGTCAGCCGGATGAATGGCAGGAGCGGAAAAGCGAGGCGCAGCTCGATTACTGGCTGCAGGCCTGGCAACTCCCAGGCCCTAAGTAGTACAACACCCCTGCCCCCCCTTAAACCCTAAACCCTAAACCCTAAACCCTAAACCCCAAGCTAGACTAGAGCTTCGGGATGCTTCAGGTGGTGGCGAGGTGGGGGTGAGGCAGACTCAGGGGGTAAGCCTCAGCCCTCGTTTCGGGTCTAGGCTTGAGGGGTTCAGCAACGGCTTGCTGGCAAAGAAGTTACAACAGTAGAATAGAGTAGAATCATCAGAGAACAACCATCTTTGCAGACATTCGCAACACGAAATCACAGCAAGCTGCTTTGCGTCGCGTTCGGGAGATTCACGCGGTTTCTCAAGCCCGGGGCAAAGGAAGCGGGATCATGCACCGCAGCCTCCATGCTCCGCGGGAACAGTTTCCTTGCATATAGAGTGTACAAAGGTGAAATTAGAGTCAGGGTGCGTCAAGGGTTCATCCCCGCACCGACCGCATCCTGCCGAAAGGCTTCCCACCAGACATCTTACGGTCTGCCTGGAAGACAATGACAAGACCGGCCACCAAAACTGAGTCTCCACGTCCCCTTTTTCAGGGGAGACCCGCTCAACTCCAGAGGCCTCCGGCCTCCACATGCAAGAGTGTGAGCAAGGAGGCCTACAGGCCTACAAAGGGTAAAAAAGAATGCACGTCTGAGATGTACTTTAATGTCGGTATGACTTGAAGTCTGATGTACTGCATGTACAGTAAGTACCCTAAGAAGGGCTACAACAGAGATGCCACAAAATCAGGGGCTGCTTCTTTACAGCGCCGCCAGCCATCACACGGCCTTCCGGGTGACTTCGCGCGCATAATCCTCATCCTCTCCCGCCTTCACCTCTTCACGTGCCGGCGTCTCTTGGTGGTAGCTGAAAAGCTCCGTGAAATGGAAGCAAAATGCTGAAAGGTCAAGGGCTTCGGTTCCGGTCTGGCGGATAACTTCCTTCAGCCGCACCTTGAAGCGCCGCTCGTCCGCGCTGTGCTCGAAGCGAAGACTTCGGGCCTCCATGCATTCGATGATCTTCTCAGCGCTGACATGCCCACTCCCGTCCGAGTCGAAAGCCCGGAAGAGAATGGCGAGTTCACGTTGATCCATGGCCACTGCCTTCTGGTAGCGGAAGTTCCGAGAAGAGACCTGCTTTATCAGGACTCCCATGAGCCAGTGGTGCAACCAACGAAGATACGTGACCATGACCAAGGTGCAGGTGACCAGCCACACGCAAAGGATGCAAGCCATCGTCGTCATGAGCCAGGCAACCTCAATCTGTGCCCAGCCCATAATGAAAAGGACGGCCAGCACAAGCACGGCCACCGAGGGAAAGCTGATCCGCGAAATCTTGTCTAAGAAGTGTGCAGAGCGGGAGGATACTGCGGACCGCAAGAATTGCACCAGAACGTTCTCCAGGACGCTCGCAAAAAGGATCACCGTCAGACAGAACATGGTAACATCCATCCACAGGAGCGACGAGGTATGCTGGGGAATCATGGCGTAGGCCATGGTCCTGAAGACTTGCAAGGACAGGAAAGACAGGAAGCCCGTGGCGACCCGCGGCATGACCAGGTCAATGGGAATGAAGAACCCAGCGAAAGGAATGAAGAGCAAGGCGCTGAGAGGCCAAAACAACCGGACAAGGAGGATGCCGATGCGTCGCGTCATCGAAATATTGATGCAGATTGAGGAAGTAGCCAGGGATCGCTGCACCTTTTGCACGACGATGGAACTCACATCGAAGCCTTTCCGTTCGAGGCTCTCTATAAAGCGCTTGGAAGCAACAGGACTGATCATCGAAGTTCCATCCCACATCGTTGAGATTCGTGAAAGGTCTGTTGCAAAAAGAGAGCCCGATGGTGCGGACAGTGTGGTCTGGAAGTGCGGGTCCGTAAAATACTCGAAAGGTATGCAGAGTTCCAACACTTGCGTGTCAAATGGAAAGTGCTCATATGACAGAGTCACGTCGAAAGACGTCTTTTCGTTGTCCACCCATAGTGCTTCGAAATCGCTGGTCGCTGGCACAGTCATGGCGACAATCGGATCAAACTCGGTGATGCCTCGTGGGTTTGCTGAGGTCTTCAACAGAAGATGCACCGGAATAGGTGTCCAAATGTATTCATCAACCGTCAAGAACTCAGAGAGCGACTGTCCCAAATCTTTGGCGGAGCTAACAAAAGCTTCGTAGCTTTGGCCGAAACAGGAGCTTAGACTGCTGTCAATCGATTGCTCGAAATAGACCCTGTCCTGATCGCTACAACCGGTTGCGTTGCAGTGCCTGTCCATGGAATACACCATCGCCTCACGCCATCTCGGGTCTCTCCACCACAGTTTCATCAAAGCATTCACCACAATCTGCCCATCAGGCTCATTCAATGCATTCACATCCACCAGGAATATGCTGACATTCACCCGATTGCTTCGCATGTCCACTGATGGTGGCAACTTCATTGCCATCTTGGACTCGGCCACCAAAGGCAACCACAGAACAAGGCACGATATCATGGCAGCAGCAGAGAAATTGAGCATCATAGCTACCTCGCATGTGCACTCTTGCAGTTACTCTGACATGACGAGTGGCCTCATGCACAGCAAAGACTTAGGCAACACACACAAAGGCCATGCTCCTGCTCCCTCCTGTGACGGCTTCTTATATCCTTGAGCCGCGCCTGTTTCAACAGTTCAGGAATTACCTGTTGCCCCAATTACCTACAGTTGTAGTAGTTACCCCTTAGTATATCGGCATACCCAAGAAAACTGGAGCACATTCTATGGGTTGTGATACGCTGAATCGGACTTATAAAGATCATTGAAGCTCTCTTCAGACGGAAGGCATCCGCTATAAGAAGGCCCCATACAGCAAAGACCATTGCTACACACGTACGCATGCAAGTGTGTCAGTCATTTATCTGCACTACATATATATATATATAGTGTGTAGCACATAGCTCCGTAGTTGCTGCTTGCCTTGCTGTGCTGCTGATGGACAACTGACGAATGGATCAAAACTGCCATATGCGTGCTCCCTGACAGCCCTTGGCAAACAAATCCCCAGCGCCGAACCTATAGGTTCTAAGCCCAAGCTTATCACAACCTTCGACTGGCGATTGCTTCGACCTATTTTCAGCACACTGGCCAGAGTCTGATAGGCCTATCTCTCCAGGGGCCCGCGCACGTTGGGCCTGATACTGTGGGATCGCATCTCTTGAAGCCTTGGTGGGGCTCAAGGGTTTAGGGTGTTTCGGGTTTAGGGTTTTGGGTTACCGGGGAGGAAGGGGGGGGGGGGGGATTCGGGCTTGGGGCTTTCAAAGCTCAGAGTACAATCGAGCTCTCTTTTCAAGCCCTGAATCCATTCTTGCGTCCGAGCTTTTTGGGGGGGGGGGGGGGGGGGGGGGTCCCCCTCATAAGCTTTGTAAAGCCTACCCCCTGGTCTGTCGGGGCGTTGCTTGGAGCCTTTCCTGAGTAGCATGGTGAATGTTCATATATATATATATGTATATACACATACAAATATTATACACATACAATAAGTACATTTTGTTAATTTATTCTGAGTACAGGTTATCTCATTGATTATTGCTTTGCTCTCTCCAGACTTGCAACAGAAGTTGGGGACACGAGGTGCTTGGGAGACAGCGCGAAAGCGACATTGTCCGCGCTGGTTTTCCATTGGTTTCCTGACCGACCCTATAAGGAACAGGTGCCAAGGGACGATCAGGCCGATCTTCAACTTGCTTGTCTCCAATCCTCTTCCACAAGATGTGTGCCCCCACCCCGCTCCCTTCATACCCCATATTTTCTTCGTAGAAATGCCCTTATACAAGGACCCGCAACTGTGCGGACACAGTCGAATATCCAAAGAATCAAACCCTGAAATGTCCCACTGCTGCAGCCCAAGGGACATGTCTGTGGCAGACTTCATCGACCTGGTCAGAAATGGGGGGTATAGTGGTTAGGGGTCCTTCTTATTAGGGAATCCTACTATTTTGGGATCTATATTGGTGGTCCCCTATTTTCGCAAAGCCCCAAATTCTACAGATCTGCTGAGGGGAAACGGTGGAGGACTCCGCGCCCTGGTTTTTGCGGCGGTCGCAACTCGGGACACTCTCAGGACTCCCTAAACCCCTAAACCCCTAAACCCCTAAACCCCTAAACCCCTAAACCCCTAAACCCCTAAACCCCTAAACCCCTAAACCCCTAAACCCCTAAACCCCTAAACCCCTAAACCCCTAAACCCCTAAGCCCCTAAGCCCCTAAGCCCCTAAGCCCCTAAGCCCCTAAACCCCTAAACCCCTAAACCCCTAAACCCTAAACCCTAGACCCTAAACCCTATAAACCCTAAAAGCACTAAACCGCGTCCTAGGCGGGAAGAAGAACTGGGGGACTGGCGTTCAAATCTGGACCTCAATTGGTAGCTATCTCTGCACAGCTGTTATTCTTGCTAAGACCCATAATTTCTAGTATACTCTAATTAGAAGATGCTATTGTTGTTCAGAATCATACTACTACCACTATGAATATTATTCACAAAGCTCTTGTTAGTATTGCTATGATGATTGTTCGTGTTGTCTTTGATTATTATTGCTATTGGGATTATTCCGGCCTGTTCTGCGCATGGATTCTGAGGATCAGGTTGTAGCACGCCAGGTCCGGTCTCACCTCGCGTGACCTTTCGAAGGGTTGAGGGCTTGCCTCTAGGGTTTAGGGGCTCCTCTTGAAGCGAAGCTTATAAGCAGGAACTTCATGACCTAGGATGCCCCTTAACAACCCTCCGAAAAAAACATATACCTGAATCTGGGTTTAGGGTTTAGGGTTTAGGGTTTAGGGTTTCGGGTTTCGGGTTTAGGGTTAAGGGCCCCAAGGCGGCCTGCCTAGTGAAGGGGTGTACAATCAGCCCTCCACCACATCCCACGAAAGCCGATCCTGCGGTCGGCATGATGATGGTGAGCAGTACTTCAGGTCATGCCAAGGGTTTAGGGTTTAGGGTTTCGGGTTTAGGGTTCAGGGTTGAGGGTTTTGGACTTTCGCAACACAGGGAACATGCTCAAACACCCTGAACCCCTGTTTATGGGCAGCCCGGTCCCGCCTCAGCTCATCTAGCAAATTGAAAGCATCGGGGAGCAACCCCATGTGCAGAATCGACGACAGTTTCTCCTCGGCACCGAGCACCAAACTCGCCCAGTCATGGTCTAGGATGGCCCTTAAAACCCTCTGAAAAACTATTGCTTAATATGATCGTCTTAAGCACAATTAAGGAAAGCATAAATGTCCCAAGGGCCACCGAGCAGTTAGTTCAAGGCATTCATCTCCCGCGCACTTCTTATCCCTTCTTATCCCTACCCGGCCTCTGCAAAGAGTGGGAGGATCTGCGCTATAGGTTGTTGTAGAATTTGCATGTCTGGAAGAGCACGTTTAGCATCATCTACGAGGGGTGCTGTGTCCTCTATGTGCGACATCTAGACTACCAGTGGCTGCCCTGGCATGGTGGCGCATACAGCAAATGGCAAATGGCATAGCAACCATGCCCAGGAAATGCACGTGCCAAACACTTCCGGCACTCTCTTGCGAGTGCGTCTGCATGGTCCGAGGAGTCTGAGGGAAATACAGGCGTCAACTCCAAACAGATGCGGTTTCGAGATTGCATGCTCCTACATATGCAAGTGCAATCTTAGGGTAGTTACATGATCCCTTAATAGGGGCCCTTTTTGCAACTGGGCTTGGGGGCTAGCCAGAGCTGAGCTCTCAATGGGCCCTTACTTGGGGAACCCTTATATCCCTTATATACCTTGTATACTACACCCTTGAACTCAACCTAAAGTTCCTGCTTCCACTGCAGCCGCCGTGGGCCTTGAAGTGCAGGGTTATAAACCCTATGCACATGGCCCTATCTCACATGCTCTGAATGCATGTGGTCTTCATGCCCAGCAGACTGAAGCCCTAAACCCTAAACCCTAAACCCTAAACCTTAAACCCACGGAACTCCCAAGGCTCCGGCGAAGTAAGCCTCCGGAGTGGCTGTCAACGACTCCAAGTCTTGAAACAGGTTCAACACCTCCCAATTCTGCAGCTTCCTTTTGGGGGACTGAATGAACTGGGTTTAGGGTTTAGGGTTTAGGGTTTAGGGTTTGGGGTTTAGGGTTTAGGGTTTAGGGTTTCGGCCTTCCTTGGGGGCACCACATGTGGGTTTACGAAAATACGTACCCTTTTGGGGGTTTTGTATCATAAGGATTATACTGTTTTGGGGTGTATTAAGAGTACAACTATTGGGGGGACTAAATGAACCCTAAAACTTGGGGCTTGGGATGTTCCCCCCCTTTAACTAACAGTCCTAAATAGGGACTATAGTACCCCCTAAGAGATCCCTATTCAGAACTGTTAGTAGGGGGGGAAACATCCCACAATTGGGGCATATTTTTTCTACTCTAAGTATACGAACCATGAACCCTTTTGGGGTTCATTTGCTCCTCAAGGTTGGGGCATCAGGGTATGTGCGCGAACTGTCCTACAGGTCTTTATCCTCAAGAACATCGCTGAGACTGTCTGACAATCTTCAAAATTTCTGCCCGTCTGCGACGTCGAAACGATCCGAAACTGCTCCTGCAGGCTGCTCTCCTCACATTCTCGGTAGCGGTTCTTTGTTGCAGTGGCCCACTTTGGAGTTCAGGCAGCTCATTCAGTAGCGAAAGCTCGCTTAAAGAGCTGCGTCTTGTCGCAGCCTTGGCTGAACCCCAGACCTACGTTTCAATTTTTTGTAGGTTAGTACTCACTAGAAGACCCCTTATAGGATTCTTCGGCAATTAACCCACAAAAATGGTAGGCTTTGGGTTCTTAAGGTAGTGGCTGCCAGGGACGCGAACCGTCTGCCACAAACTGCGCATGGATGTGTCTTTTTTGCCTCAGGCGCACCTCCAGGTGTTGCAAGTCCCCAAACCTCAGCGCATGATAGTCGTTCTTTCTTTGAACATACACTGGCTCACCATAGTCAGGGGGGAAACCTGTAAAGATAACCCTGTCCCGGATTCCCTTTGCGACTCTCACATCCAGCAGTGCTCCTGCAAGGGTTTGAACGGGAAGCATCATGATATGGCAGTTGCCATGCTCCTCCGCGATGTGCTTCAACAACGGCACTCCATGTTGGGCATCGGCCATGGAGATGTCAATGTGGCGAACCAACTTAAGATATCGCGGGCCAACCTTAACACATTTTGCCACCCTGCCCATGCTGGCTGGCACAGCAAGGAGTAGTTCAGCAGGGCACATCAGCAGCTTGTGACTCTGTAACGCGCCTTCGGCCTTCGCTCCACGGGTCCAGTCATGGTCTACAGAGCCCTTCCAGCCGGCCCAACAGTGTAAACCAGCTGCGCAGTGGCCTTCAGTAGCTCCTCATTCTGCTCCTTGAGCTGCTCGGAGCTGTAGCAGCTGGAGGTGCCGCTCGTTAGCATCGCCAGGCACGTCAGAGACCGTCAGAGATTCATGCCGAGGCGCGCTAGATCCGCTAGATGCTGCAGACGCCAGAGCTGGCGCAATGGGCTTGTGGGTCCCGCATTCCGCCCATGAATGTCCAATATCCGGAGAATGTCTTCGCGATTGTACCTTGCCAACTCCTTCCCATTTACGCTGCCCAACGCCTGACATGCGTGGGACACATCGGCCGCTTTGAAGTCTGCTTGCAACTGGGAGGTGGTCCAAGCTTTCACTTCAGTTCCTTTTTGCAATCCCTAAGGATCCATGTGCCTATATAGTATATACTTAGGACTTACAGGGGTTCCTATATAGTAGAATTTGGCCCCAAGTATATATTATATACGTATATGGATCCGTTGGGATTCCGTTGGGACTGTTTCAAGCGGCTTGTGCTCCATACCGCGCCAGGTTACACAAGAAACGCTACCCTAAATAAACCCTAAACCCTAAACCCTAAACCCTAAACCCCAAACCCTAAACCCTAAACCCTACACTTCTCTGTTGAAACGCCAGCAGATCCCGCGCTCGGACAGCTGAAGCTGCTGCGTTTGGATTCCTGCCCTCAGGTTTTATACATCCTAAACTTGAATGTGCCCTAAACCCTAAACCCTAAACCCTAAACCCACTAAGGCTCCGATTCTGTTACGGTTATATAAGCTGAAGGTTCGAGGATCTTTCAACAATGCTCCGACATCGAATCGAGCCGAAACCGACATTCTGCTGAAGAGACCCCCTGCGCGCCAGACTTAGAGTCTTGGAAGTTTTGGAGATTAAGCTCAAAAAGTGTTCAGGGCTTAGGTTTTTTTTGCCACCCGGCTAGCCACAGCACTGAGGGGTAAACTGGTCGGGGATGGGAGAAAGACCCTCGTTGGGGGATTAGGGCTCAGGGTGTTTAGGCAGCGTGACCCTGAAAGAGAATTGATGGTGGTCTTCAGTGCACGCAGGTTGCAAGGGGCGCCTCTTCGTGCATGCCTGACAGCCGAAGCGCACGAAGGGCCTGACAGCTTCAGCTTTGGGAGGTAGGCTTCTAGGCTCTACAAGCCGCGTCTGTGCAGATCTGGTGTGCTCAAAACATCTGCCACTACACCAGCAGCAGTGAAGTCAGGTACGGGATGTTCTCTTAAAGGGGGGAGGGAGGTGGGATACCCTTTCAACCCTAAACCCTGAACCCTATAACCTAAACCCTATACCCGAAACCCTAAACTCTAAACCCTAATTTAAACCCTAAACCGTTGCTTCCATAAACGCCACACTAGCCGCAGCAGGAGGTGAAGGCAGTCAGCAGCTCAAGATCGGAAACCTAAACCCTAAACCCTTTTTCAACCCAGGCAACCTTAGACCCTAAGCCTTAACCCCTTTTTGCTTCAGGGCTCCTGTGGTAGCTTGACCCTAAACCCTAAACCCTAAACCCTAAACCCCAAACCCTAAACCCTAAACCCTAAACCTACGATTCTGGGTCGCAAGTGCAAGTGTCTTCCTTTTCTCAGATGCACCGGCAGCTGTCTCCGGATGGGGCCATCCCGAGATACTTCGGGGGGAATTGTATGAGATGCGGTGGCATAGGGGTTTAGGGTTTAGGGGTTTAGGGATTTTAGGGTTGCTTTTAGGGTTTAGGGGTTCTAGGGTTTAGGGGTTTAGGGCTTTTAGGGTTTAGGGGTTTAGGGGTTTAGGTCTTTTAGGGTTTAGGGGTTTAGGGGTTTGGGCTGAAGCTGATTGTCCGTTTTGTACTAGACCCTAGTTTAGAACGGCCCCGGCAATGACAACCCCTACAGTTAACCAATAAACCCTTTTTACCCCGAAACCCTAAACCCTAAACCCTAAACCCTAGGCCCTAAACCCTAAACCCTAAACCCTAAACCCTAAACCCTAAACCCCCCTACAGCTCCCCCAGCTCAAGGAGATCGAGATCGAGCTCCGGGAAGAGCTCCTGGAACTGACGGAGCGCTCCCAGGCAGGAAAGGCATGGGCTGATCGTGGTGAACCTCGGATTCTCTTGCAGGGCTTTAGGGTTTAGGGTTTAGGGTTTAGGGTTTAGGTGCGGTCTGACTTATAACGGCTAAGGATTCAATCTTTGAGAGGGCTTACTTTCTATAGTAGAAAAAACAATCAGACTTAGAACTTCGACCTTCTTACTTGTAGAAAAAACACAATCATACTTAGAACTTCGACTCGATGGCTCTTAAGATTTTGCAGTGGTTAGATTGGGGGCCTCTGCTGTTGCGGCGTAGCAGGGTTTGTAGGCTGTGCGAAAAGGTGCAGTGTGGGTGTTTTGGGTGGCAGGCTACATCGTAAGCCAGCCCACACGCGCTGGATGCAAGTGAAAGACCCGTCCTTGCACGCCTTGTAGGGTTTATATGCGCATATGGGGAGGTTTGATTCGCCAGTTGTGCTTGCCTTGTGGGAGTTTAGGGTTTAGGGTTGCCTACGGCATTTGATTGGGCCATAGGCAGGGTCAATTAGGTCCGATGTGAAGGGATGCAGCCTGAAACTTACCAGCCACGAACAGCCATGGGCAAAAACAGACCATTGGTTGGGTGAGAACAGTCGGAGCATTTTGCGGGATGTTCCGGTAACAGCAAGTGAAAAGAGCAGTTCCAATTGTGTGTCGCCACATGCTCGCAGTAGCTTAGCTTTTGGCACTCAGCTCACTAGGTCGCCGACTGTCCAAGATCAGTCGCTCACTCCCTCACTAAACCCAAAAGTCCTAAAGCCCTAAACCCAAAATATAAAGCCCTAAACCAACTGCTTGACGATTCGGGGCATGCCTCTTGCGAGGGGGTGGGTTCTGGGGCTTCGGCTCTAATGCTAAGCCCAGACATAGGCCCCCTTTCCCAATCTTTACACAATTCCTGCCGCGTACACACATGATATGTCTATGTGCACATATACACACATTGAGGTGTATATGTGCACAGACATGCTAAAGTCAAACTTGTATATATTCTAGACCCAAGAGTAACCCTAAGGATCCATGTACCTATATAGTATATACTTAAGCCCTGAAGATAGTAGCTTTGGGCCCAAATGTATGCTCTTTAGGTCATGGATCCTTTGGGTAACCTAATCGTGTTTGCACGACGGGCGTGTCGCGTTTGCGCTCGATGGGCCCGAAACCAAACTCTGCGCTTTGTGCCTAGACCCAGGACATGGCCTGGAGATATTATTTGTTTAGGGTTTAGGGTTTAGGGTTTAGGGTTTAGGGTTTAGGGTTTAGGGTTTAGGGTTTAGGGTTTAGGGTTTAGGGTTTAGGGTCTTGGGTTTAGGGTTTCTCTAGGACCCAGAGTAGCCCCTTATTCCCTTTTTTGTAGGGTTTGGGTTCCCTGATAAGCCCCTTTTAAACCAAAGAGGGCACCCAGTTCGAGAGTCAGAGAACATGCGGAAACCCACGAACCTGAACACCACCCTCTGCCAAACGCAATCTATCCCTGGCGAGTGGCAGAGATACCACGCCAACCACCCGAGACTCTGCCAAGGGAATACTGGATAGGATACCGACCAGCTCCTTGGAAACCGGCACGGTGCAGCTCTCAAGGTACTGAGGTGGAACTTGAAAGGAACCCCACGCCGAGAGACGCGTAAACACCTCAGCCGGATAACATCTTGACATCTATTTCGCCCCAGGTCTTTCCGTGATTCCTTCAGCAACTATCAACCGGACGAGGGGTTTTGGGCTTCAGACACCAGAGTCTCTTATGATCCAGGCTGGGTGCCAGAAAAGGGATCTAAACAAGTGTCAAGCTGCTGAGGTTGAGGGGATTGAGGGCGCAGAAGGCTCTTTACCTAGGAGGGCCCTTAGAACCCTCGGATCAATATTCCTGAACACGGTCTTAAACCCAATAAAGTGTCCCGAAGGCCTAGCTAGTTACTGAGCCCAGTGTCAGACAAGGCCTGAAATTCGGCGCAGAGCTGGCGGTTCACCTGAGACAGATGGCGCCTGTGCCTCTCACTGCCCCTTCACGCATACCCTAATATAGGGGCCTTAATAATTAGAACAGGCTTCTGGGCATTCTTATCGTATAACTTTAAAGGGACCATAAGGGAAAACCGACCCCTTTTTTTGTACAGCTTGCCCCCAAACACATTATGATTAAAAACTGTTCGAAATTACTGGATATTTCAAGCTTGGTGCTCAAGGTAAATGGACTCCAAGACATAAGACCCTGTAAGCAGACTACCTGCCCCTTGCGAATATAGGGGCCTTAATATTTAGAATAGGGTTTTGGGATGCAGCCCTTCCTTGTCAGGCGGCGTCGGTCTTGGCTTACATCGTGGTCTTATACGATGAGTTCGCGAAGAGCCGATGCCAAAGTTCCCAGCAGTCACGAAAACACCCTAAACCCTAAACCCTAAACCCTAAACCCTAAAACCCTACAGTAACCCCCACACTGCAGCGCAAAGACTCGTCCGCTGTGTGGGAGCCGCACCGCATGGAGTTGCGACGCGGGCACGCGACGGTCTCCTGAGGCAGAAGCCGAGACGTGACGGCTTGGAGTCGCAGCTCTCTGGATGACAGACAGCGATGGTAGCAATCAAATATGTGCTAACTCTCGGTCCTGGACCACCCATATTCTGTAATCAAGCACGCGCAACGGGCGAGTCAAGCACAAGAATGAAGCGTAGAGCAAAAAGTCTATGGACAAACCATTGGATGCAGGGATGTGACCTCGCAGACGGCTCCAAGTGTGTGAACGCGCACGAGCAGAATCTCGTTTTGAACTCATGCTAAGTCACATCTGCAAGACCCGACCCCTAAACCCGGCCACTAAAGCCACATCGACCCCAGGCCCCTGAACCCCCTTAAACCCTGATGTCACCAACACTTCGTGATTACATGACAGCAGGTCATGCCTGACAAAGGGGCGGGTGGATGCTGGCGGTGGATTTGGCGGTCCGATGAACCCTTGTATTTTCTGTACGGGCTGATGATACAGGGACGTAGGAGTAAGGCCCCGGGATCTGTTGAAAGTTGTCCTTACATCAACCCCTCAAAGATAATCCCAAAACCCTAAACCCTAAACCCCAAACCTTATAAACCTTAAAGCCACAACTGGCTCCCAGGCTGCCTTGCAAACCCGACTCGTAGAGGATCTGCCCGCTCCGCTCGCGCAGTGGGTCAGCGACACCCTCCGGGGCTGCGGCGTACCTTTTGGGTTTAGGGTTTAGGGTTTGGGGTTTAGGGATGTTCCCCCTAATACTAACAGTCCTTAATAGGGATGATCGTGCTCCCTATTATGAACCCGATTAAGGACTGTTCGCATGAGGGGGAACATCCCCAGGTTTAGGGTTTAGGGTTAGACTACAAAGAGCTGTGGACACTCACCCCGCTAAGCCCCTCAGAAAAAGGAGCTGCCTCGAACACCCTAATTTGGGCTCCCAGGTTGGCGCCATTCCTTGGGGACCTTATGAACCCCAAAGGGTTTATGGTTCATATTACCCCAATAGGGGTTATCCTGGTGTAGGGAAAAGGATCCCAATTTCAGGGTTCGTTTGGTCCCCAAGATTCTCTAAACCCTACCCCCAAACCCTAAACCCCGGCAACTTTAGATCTCTGCATGGCTTGCAGCCGAACGACTCCAGGTAGGCGAAGACTCTCCTGGGTTGACTCTGGCATCTTGTGGCTGTGCGAAGAGCCAAGAAGCTTGAGCTGTCAATAGTCCAAGCAGCACCCTAAACCCTAAACCCTAAACCCTAAACCCTAAACCCCAAACCCCAAACCCTAAACCCCAAACTAACAATGCCAAACCGGGTGCGTGGATACAAGCACAAAGATCATGAGACACTTCGAGGACAGAAAACCAACCCGGGAGCACATCAACATGCAGAGGCCCATTCCCCATGAAGCCCTTTAAGCCCCCAAAGCCGCTAAACCCCCCTAACAAACCTTCTGAACCTGGTACCCTAACAACCCTAAACCCTAAACCCCATAAACAAATCCGTCTCATAGGGCACCCAAGGCTCCAAGGCTCGAGACTCCCGAAGCGGCCCTCCAGCGCCCGCCGGGCTCGCAGGCCGAAGGCCTGGGAAGCCCTTGGGATGCCGAAGATGGAGAGGAGCTCCTGGTTTTTTGGGGGGGTTTAGGGTTTAGGGTTTAGGGGTTTAGGGTTTGGGGTTAAGGGTTTCGGGTTTGGGGTTACAGGGCTTCCACCGTTGCTATGGGCTTCTCGACTGGGGTTGCTATAGAGTTTCTGTTAGGGGTTTGTAGGGCTCGGTGCTGCTTTTTGCCAGTCTGGGGTTGGTGTTCCAGAACTGCCAGCAGGACACATTTTTGGGTTAAGGGTCAAGGGTTAGGGTTTAGACATGCTGAGACCAAAGGGCGTGTGCCTGGCAGGCAACAGGACTCTAAGGGCGTAGATAGCTTAGCACACGTCCAACCACCAGGATGGGGCTTTAGGCCTTCTCACTATAAAACAGCCTTGTTGAGGGATTATAGGCTACAATGGCCCATCCTGGCATGATGAACTTGGCAAGCGACTGGAACTTTCCAACCTGTGATTCATCAAGACCTCGCGCACGCTGCCCTGGGTTTGGAGGAACTTAACTCCACCAGCCACAGCCGTTGTAGGGTTTAGGGTTGAGGATTTCGGGTGGTTTAGTGCGCACATGACCCGCAGCGCTTCAATGTAGTCTTCTTCCCCTCTGCAAAGGAGCCTAAATACCCCCGGACCCCAAACCCCAGAACATGCGCGCATGTATGTTTTTTCATAGACCCTAAACACTATAGCCCTAAGAAAGCTCAAGACAAAGGATTCCCCAAGCAAAGACGTTCATTTGCCTCCCATGGACCTTGAACCTGTATGCAAAGGTCGCGGGCGCTCCCCTGTGAAGGCTCTCATGTTCAACACCTGGTGCTTGAAGGCCGTTTGCTGGTACTGTGCCTTACTTCTCCCATCACCAACCTGGGACCCTACTTACCTACAGCTTAGTATTACGTACCCCCTAATTACTAAGTATAACCCTTAAAACTGTAGACAAAGAGGAAGGAATACAAAATGGCTACACCTTCATTATTTCGACTAACTAAGCCCAAAAAGGTTAAAGTTCAACTATTGGCCAAGTAAGGTGCTGTAGAGGCCGCGCTGAGGCCCACATCTCCTCGGAGCACCGGGCATGTGGGTTCAGGGGTCGTAAGCCCTAAGCCTAAACCCTATGAACCCTGTGAACCCTATGAGCCCTATAAACCCTATATAAGCCCTATAAACCCTATAAACCCTATAAACCCTATAAACCCTGCAAACCCTGTAAACCCTGTAAGCCGTATAAATGCTGGCCCTATAAACCCCGAGAATGGTGAGAACGGCGGGACTTCCTGAGCCTTGAGGTCTGAGGCCTCTGGGGAGCAGGTGGCTGCGGGGGGGGTTTTGGGGGGGGGGGAGGGGGGGAGAGGGGGGGGCTTTTGGGGGGAGCGGGGGAGAGGGGGGGGCTTTTCGGCTCCAGCCCAACAAAACCCTAAACCCTAAACCCTGAACACTAAACCCTAAACCCTAAACCCTAATTTGAACGGAGAGTTCTGCCTGGGCTCTTAGAGAGGAGGCGAGGTCTTCCAGCGCTGGCCGCCCGTGGCTGCGCAGGGACTCCCGCAGATTGTCGTCTGCCTGCGGCGGTGTTGTGGAGGGTTTAGGACCCTCAACCCTAAACCCGAAACCCTAAACTTAAACGATACACCCTAAACCCTAAACCCTGCAAACCTAAACCCTAAACTGCACTGCCCGCTTGCAGGTGTATGAGGAGGCTTCGGGGTTTCCAGGCGGTTTGGGATGGAGGGCATGTGCGGCTCCGTCTACGGCCGGATGCTTTTAGGGTTTAGGGTTTAGGGTTTAGTGTTTATGGTTTAGGGCAGCCCAAGTTCTCGTTTGAGAAAGAATGAACCTTGGAGTTCTGGGCTACTGGCATTTGCGCTTGGGAGCTGTCGCCCAAAAAAACTTAGGGGTTCATGGCTCTTCTGCCCAAGCCACCTGCAAGACGCCAAGGGCCCAGTGCAAGTCAGCGCAGCTCTGGGCAGTGAGATCCGAAGAGCCGAGAAGTCCCGAAAGTTGCTGGCACGCGGCGTCGCGCAGCGCGGCTTGGAGCACCAGGACATGCGCAAGCCCCCAAGCCTTGGTAGCCCAGTAACCATATTATAATAAGGGCACCCTCTTTTTTGAGTTGGTTGCTTTAGAAGGGAACCCAGAACCCAAAAAAAAAAGGGGTAAAGCGGGATACCACTGGGCTCTTAAGAAGCGGTGTTGGCCGGCTGCTGCCCATCGAAGCCTTGAATGCGTGACACGCAAGCCTGAGCAGCTCCCTCGAATAAGGCCTCGCACCTGATGCCATCAGGGCTCTGTGTTGCAACTCGCCCCTAAACCCGAAACCCTAAGCACTAAGCCCTAAACCCTAGACCCTAAATTTCTAAACCCTTAGCCGATGAAGCAAACAGGTTCTCACAAACAGCATTCCAGGCTCCGCATTGCCAGCTGAGCAAGCTCCCAGGCAATATTCGCCAATCCCTGCTCGTCATGACTGTACTTGTCCTCAGTCTGTCTATCCCCCCCCCCCCCGGTAGCTGCTAATTGGCACCGACCCTGCCAACAATTACCTCCAAAGCCCCTCCGGTTGAAACCTCCTCTTTCTTTCTTCAGTAGCTCTTTTAACGGTACTGCCCTTCTTCCGAGTCCTGAAGATCTCATCGGTCTTCCCTGCAGCCCTGCGTCGTGCAGGAAAGAGGACATGACGGCATCCATCAGCTGGGTGCCGAAGTGGAGCGTGGTTCCTGGACTGGCACTCAGTTTTTCGGATGGGTTTAGGGTTTAGGGTTTAGGGTTTAGGGTTTAGGGTTGAGAGTTTAGGGTTCTGGAGCTTCGACAGCTTTCAATATTTCTGATGCTTTCTTGCAAACTTAAAGGCTGGTTCCAGCTCCACCTGATGTTAGTAGCCCAGTAACCCGTATCTTGCAATAAAAAGAGTACCTTTTCTGGGCAGGTTCCTTTATAAGGGCAGGGTTTAGGGTTTAGGGTTTAGGGTTTAGGGTTTAGGGTTTAGGGTTTAGGGTTTAGGGTTTAGGGTTTAGGGTTTAGGGTTTAGGGTTTAGGGTTTAGGGTTTAGGGTTTAGTAGAGGGCACCACTGTGGGCTGAGAGTCCCATGGACCGGCCGATGTTGGAAGCGTTCTGCGGGGCTTCTGCCTGGCCAAGGAGCCCGAAGCCCCCCGGCTTTCTGAACCCTAAACCCCAAACCCCAAACCCTCAACCCTAAACCCTAAACCTGCAGTGGGTCATACTATGGCGTTGAGCATGCCTGGCCCAACCTGGCAGAAGTTTCACTACCCCAACCTCCGCACTTGCAAAAAACAAAAACGCACTTCTTCTGGCCACACCCTACTCTGGCTCCCTAAACCCTAAACCCTAAACCCTGACCCCTAACCTTCAGCATGCCCCCCCAAACACCATGCATCCCGGCCTCGTGGCGCGATACTCTCCTGAAGACTGTCGGCAATGCGGGGCTCGATGATCTTATAAACACTATAAACTCACGAACCCTAAACCCTATTTTTTGGAAGATGTCATGTTACGGGGGGTTTCCGAAAATAACCGGGGTACCCTTTTTGGATCCCTTTAAGGGGATTCTGTTCTACTCTGGGGTCAGAGGCATACCCCTATTTTGGGAAATGCCCTGAATTATGGCGCGCTCCTCTCAAAAGGAAAGGGTCCCAGCCGATGCAGCTCAAATACTTCAGATGGCACAAGCTTCCCACATGTTCCAACCTCCTACCCTGAAAGTCGGGCGCCAAGCTTGGACAATCTAAACATTCAGCACCGCCCGCAATCCCTGAAACCTCCATCCACATTGCTTTCTAAACCCTAAACCCTAAACCCCTAAACCCCTAAACCCCTAAACCCCTAAACCCCTAAACCCCTAAACCCCAAAACCCCTAAACCCCTAGACCCCTAGACCCCTAAACCCCTAAACCCCTAAACCCCAAACCCCAAACCCTAAACCCCAAACCAAGCCAGGGCTCAAGAGAGCTGCTTGACCGAGGCGGGGCATCGGAGAAGCTGAGCGCCGGCCCATGGTTCCGGGGCCCCGCAGCGCGTTCGCCGCGTTCTGGGTGCTGGGCTCGGTCAGGACACGGGAGCCTCTTGTGAGCTTAGGGTTTAGGGTTTAGGGTTTAGGGTTTAGGGTTTGGGGTTTAGGGTTTCGGGTTTCGGGTTTCGGGTTGGGGGCTTTCGGATTCGAGGGGTTTGGTTGAGGGTTCAGGGTGAAACTGGATAGGGGTTAGTTACGGCCAAATTCCACAGTCTAAGCTGGGGGGCTGTACCGTGCTACACACCATAAGGGGGGGGGGGGGTACTGAAGAAAACACAACGCTGGGGGATAGGATTAGGGGGACCCTTGGGGATATAGACCCTCTGAATAAGGTCCCTGTTTAAGAGAGCCAGAAGAGCGTTAAGAAGGGGTTCCCTTTTAAGGGTCCCCCTTATCCTACCTAGGAAACGCGGCGGAGCAGCAGGCTTCCGGCAGACCACCGGTCGAAGAAAGCTCGCTCAAGTCCAGAGTTCCGGGAGCCCGGGCCAAGTTCGAGGCATCCTTAGTTGTCCAGTATCCTGGGGGAACCAAAGGTGAGGGTTTAGGGGAACTAAAGGTGAGGGTTTAGGGTTTAGGGTTTAGGGTTTAGGGTTTAGGGAACCTTTTTGGATTCTAAAGGGGATATAATACCCCAAAAAGGTTCAAGGGCTACCTCCTCTGCTACTAGGCATCTTGGGCATCCAGCTGGTCAAGGACAGAAGCGCCCTGCTGGGAAATCATCTGCGTCAAAAGCCGGCCCAAGACGGCGCTGGTCGCAAGCCCTCGAGCTGTGTTGCTCGGATTCTGTGGCCCGGACTGCGATGCCTTCTCCAAGGAAGCCGAACGGGTGGCCGCAAGCAAAGAGCCCTCCTCCGCGTAAAGCTTTCCGGAAGTCCATGACAGATTGGCAGGTTCCTGGGGCAGAAGCTCACTGGCTCGGTCTTGAGACTCCTGGGATGCTCTCAGCATCAACATGCTGCTCCGCGCGTGGAGGTTGCCGAAAGCCCGCGCTAGGTTGGCAGTCTCCTGGGTGTGCGCCTCACGCAATGTGGTCACGCCCCACTGCGGAACTGCGGCAAATAGGGGCTGGTGGAAGTGCTCTGAGGTGGAGGATGCTCATGCCATGCCCGCCAAGTTCTGTGGGTTGACATCTCCCGAGGAGAGAAACTGCCAGCCCGCCGCGTTCAGCGCAGTCACACCGAAGATGCCCAGCTTGGCCGGCGGCCGGGCCATGTTCGCGAGGTTCTGGGCTGTAGGTGTGTCCAGTATCTTCAACGCCGCTTCTGAGATGCCAGTCCTCCACAGAGTTCTTACGGCATGCTACTTGTACAAAGCACGGGGAGACAGAGGTACCCCAAACCCCAAACCCCAAACCCTAAACCCTAAACCCTAAACCCTAAACCCCAAGCCCTATAGGGGGGATCCAGGACCACCCCCCTCAGTCAGCCAAGGAACACTGCAAACTCATGGTGCGCCTCAGGTATTTTGACGTGCATGGGTTGGGATGTTCCCCCCCTTATACTCACGGTCCTTAGTTGGGATTGTATACCCCCGATTCTTCTCGCTATTAAGAGTATAAGGGGGAAACATCCCAACGCATGGGTTTATAGGGGTAAGGGTGGGCGTCTCCTGTTCAGTTAATAACTCCAGCATCCCCACTTGCCTACTTCCCAAGCAAGCACGCTGCAGAAACAACGTGTCTCCCTCTCTCTCGCGCATATGGGCCCTTTGCAACTTGCGAGCTGCACATGTAGTGCGACTTGAGAACCAGGTTCCTTGAGAAATGGCCTTAACACACGCACAGCAACCCCAGCTCACGTAGCCTCTGCGATCTACCAAGCCTTTCCCACTGCCAACACCTCATCCCTTTCTCTCAGCCCCACCTTCTTGATCCAGGCCCCAAGAAAGAACTCAAGTACTCATGGAATGATATTCTTGAATATATATATATATATATATATATATATGCATGTATGTCTAAGCAATACATATACACGCACCCACACACACATATAGTACAGACATATATATATATACACACACACAAACAATCGTGCGAATACGTGTCTCTACTCACCTTATGCCACAACCCTCGCCAGCAGTCCCAGCACCTCCCCTGGGCACCTGCATCGTGGCCAAAGTTTAGGCCCTGGTGGCCAGGTCTTGCGCCTTGCGCTCCTCGACACCAGAAGAGGAGCGTTTTAGGGTTTGTAGGGTTTAAAGGGTTGAGGGTTTGGGGTTTAGGGTTTCGGGTTTAGGTTTAGAGTTTAGGGTTGAGGCCAGACATGTCCCAGAGCTCATTTCATGCGGCCCCTGCATTGCCCTCGCCCCCCAAAAGCGACATTGTAGGGCGAGGGGCTAATATAGGGGGTTGAACAGTTAGAATGGTATGGGACCCCTAAGGGAACATGACTGGAAATTATTCCGACCCCCTATTGACCCCTATATTAGGCTTTCTCCTGTTGCCGGTGCTATGAAGACCGAAGCCCAAGATTTGCTCTCCTCAATGCACCAAGCAGCCCAGAAAACCCGGAGAGAGGGCAGGGAGCCACCCTAAACCTTAAACCGTAAACCCTAAGTCTAAGTGAGCCTGGTTGAGACCAAAACTTGGCTTGCGGGACGGGGGGAGGAATACTATAACTTAGTTGTCAGACTTTTTTGGGGGGAGGGAGAGGTATATTGCATGGTACAGCAGTGTAACGACCTAGGTCTTAAAGATCTAGCCCAGTAACCTTAAGATGACAATATGGGTACCCATTTTTTGGCTGGTTACTTCATAAAAGAACCCGGAACCGGAAGAAAGGGTAAAGGGTTTCAGGATTAGGGTAGCACTGGGCCCCCACGGATCAAGGAAGGGGAAGGAGTTGCCGCTCCTGCAGGATCTCGCGAAGCCGAGCACCGCCGCACTCCAGCAGCTCAGCCTCCCAGGATGGCTTATGAGGCCTTAGAATCCTCATAATGAACCCTATAAAGGGCCTTTTAAGGGACTATAGGGTACAAAAGCCCATCCTGGTCAGTTTCAGCTTACAAGCAGGGGCCCCCGTTACTGTATAATAGTTTTGGTTGAGGGAACTAGAACCAAAGTAGTATAGGACGTATAACCCAATTTAAGGCCCTGATGACCCTATCCTACCTGTAGGGTTTGCGGGGGGATTCGTTGAAAGGAGTTTTTTCTTGTTGGGCGGCGAACCCGAAAAGACATGTAGCTGTAGATATTCGGGGCACTGGGGTGGCCAAAAACAGCCTCCGTGCAGTTGGAGTTGGGGGCGAACTTGAACGGTAAGCCCGCCGAAAACAAGTTCCCCCCCCTTTTACACTTGGGGTATACATCTGGGACATGCAAAACACCAATCTTTTCCTGCATGGGCCCAAAGAAGCCCCCAGCCAAACCCTCAACGATCCATGCCCCAGCTTAGCGAGAACCTTTTTGGGTTTCGACTCGAGGCCCAAACCTAGATCCCCCAAGCTGATGCTTCAGGATCGTCTGCAAGACCCTTCGCATAAACCCTAAACCCTAAACCCTAAACCCTAAACCCTAAACCCTAAACCCTAAACCCATTCAAGAAAATGGGCGCCTAAACCCTAAACCCTACACCCCTTCAAGAAAATGGGCGGGCCAGGAAGCCTGATTGCACCCCAGGGTAGTGAGGCTCCGCAGCAGGTTGCTCACGTCCTGCGGGCCAAACGTAGCCATCTTCCTGACCGGCACTTGCTCCCGAATGGGTTTAGGGTTTAGGGTTTAGGGTTTAGGGTTTAGGGCTGGCGAACTCAGGCCATACATAAGTAGCGAATGCGCAAGCTGACTCGACCTACTGGGTTTGCCCCAGGAACCTCGGAATCAAAAGAGGGAATACGGTTGGGATGTTCCCCATTTTTCCAGCAGTCCTTAATATTAATAGGACTATGGTACCCCCGAATAGAATCCCTATTAAGGGACTGTTATTTAGTATAGATTGGGAACATTCCTAAACCCTAAACCCTTTTGCATCCGGGCTTGGAAACCATAAACCCTAAACCCTAAACCCTAAACCCTAGAACGCGCAAGGCTGGCTTAAACAGGCCCAGCTGCGCCACCGCCCGATCGGCTGACGCGGCCTGCAGCGGCGGATCTGTCGAAGCAAGGGCCCCTGGCATGGAGAAGCAGCTGCTTTCCAAACAAAGGGTTTAGGGTTTAGGGTTTAGGGTTTAGGGTTTAGGGTTTAGGGTTTAGGGTTTAGGGTTTAGGGTTTAGGGTTTAGGGTTTAGGGTTTAGGGTTCCCTCCTGCACGGCTGGGGCGAATCCGCATCGCAGCGCGATTTCGAGTCCGACTGGTTTCGCTGGTGGCTCATGTTTAGGGTTCAAAGGGTTTAGGGAGTGCCTATGCCCACTTGTTGCGGTTTCGGGCTTAGGTCTTGTAAAGCTTGAACCCTGAAGGCTACCACCCAGTGAGCTCAGGAATAAACTCGTCCAGGGACCCTCTTTACCTACAGCTTTCTGGGTTATACCTAATTAAGGGTAATTACCACTAATCTGTAGGTAAATAGTCCCAAAATGTCTCAAGAATTTCGGTACGAGACTCGGCCACTTCAGCCCACAAGGAAGCAAAAGATCGTTTGCACTTGGCTAGGGTCTCCATGGGTTCTGTGCTTACGGACGTCAGGGGGACACTCTGAGGCTTCTCCGTTCAGGGTTTCGGGTTCAGGGCTGAAGACCCTCTAAAGTCCCCCTTAAGAGCCAAGAGCAAGTCGCCCTCAGTGTTCTGAAACGCGCAGAAATTTGAGCCTCAGGTGGCGCGTCCACAACTCTCAAACCCCCCGGCTCCCCCTCCCTGTACCCTCAACTCTCCGAAAGAGCTCTTGAAGCGCAATCCTCCTTCACTCCCTTACTAAGGCCTCAAGGCTCACGATGGCCAGCTCTGTGAGCTCTTTCGGCCCCCGCACAGCCCTAAACCCTCTAAGCCCTATAACCTAGCTCATGGTTGGGATAGTATTAAAACCTTAAATGTATATTCCTTATTGGGTTTAAGTACCCTTAAAAATGTAAAATGATACCCAACTATGACAAAGTATAACATTCCTGGAGCCTTTGAACCTTGCCCCCCCCCCCCCCCCCCCCCAAGTCTCTACCGAGGTCCACACAAAGATGCTCCCCCGTGCTCTTCGGCTCCCTTGGGCCTGGCTCCCAAGCGAAGCTCGAGAGATCCTGCGCGTTCGCCGCGGGGAGGGCGGCCGAGAAGCCTGAATTCTTCAGGTTTAGAGATGTGCAATCGCTTGATGCTATGCCAGATGCAGCATGTGAACCAAAAACAGTCAAACAACAGGAATGCCTTGACCCAGTTTGCTCGATTAGCTTGCTAATGAGCTTGTTGTCACATCATCTCGGCTGTTGCGGCGTTTAGGGCTGGGGATAAGCGTAGAGGGTTTCTGCAAGCACTCGGTCCCTTTTGGGGACCAGATGAACCCTAAAATTGGGGGTCATATACCCTATCCTACTATATTTCCTATTGAGGTATATGAACCATGAACCCTTTTAGGTTTCATGTCGTCCCCAAGGTTTTGGGCATAAGTCTTATTTCCGAAACCCCATCGGCCCGAGACACCAAACCCACCCCCGGCCCAAAGACATCGGCGCGAAGCCCCATCCTCCATCCGAAGTTGCCTTGTTGCAGCCAAACACCCTGCAAACCATGTAGAAAATCCCTACAAACCCCACAATTAAACCCTATACAAACCCTACAAATCCACCCTAAAGCCCTAAACCCTAAACCCTACAAAACCCTCCTCGAAATCCTACAAGCCCAAGCGGCCCTCCAGCAGCGGACGGGGAAGGCCCTCCACGGACACTTTCGCGGACGCTTGGGCCGCATTCGCCGACTCTTGTGGTTTGGGCTCCTTGGCTTGTTTTGTTCCTTCAAGTCTGCCTGGACCCAAAAGAACCCTATCCCTAAACCCTAAACCCTAAACCCCAAACCCTAAACCCTAAACCCTAAAACCCTATCCCTAAACACTAAACCCTAAACCCTAAACCCTCAACTCAAACTACGAACCGAAAACCGTAAGACCCTTCAAGCATCTGGGCTCGCAGCCGCAAAGCCCGAAACCCAATCACCTGAAACCCTCGACCCTATAAATTCTAGGTATGCAGGGGTTTCGGGACGCGATGTTACTGCTGAAGTAGGGTCGGGATTGACTTTTTGCTTCTCTCATGCCATGCAGTTTATGGTCCCAGGGCCCCATACATGATGCATGTGCGT